ATGAACAGAAACTTCAATGGTGCATATTTAACCCTAGGGGCAGAAAGTTGGCTAATATGTATCCTACCAGGTCTTAAAACATGCTCCTTAATTTAAGCTTAACTTTGTATTACTATGAATTTTTGAGATGTGTATTTCTCTTGTTAGTAAAATATCAATTAAAAAATTATTTCTTCGTAAAATTTTCATCAACTAGATAAATTTGAATTACGAATTTTTTAGGTCACTGTATTTTTCAGCAAAGTTTAGGTAATTATTTTTTTTTTTTGTAATTTTTTTAATAATTTCTTACCAATGAAATAAAGAGAACTTTTCTGCCTAAATTTATAATATTATCAGTGGCTATCAAAATGTGACAAAAAAATACTATTCTATAACATTTATAATTGAAAACTTACGAAATTGTTTTTTGTATCCATGCTTAACGGCAGTTGCTTGAAAGAATTACTAGTGTGCTATTTGAAATTATGAATACATTATGTGATTTGTGGTATTACATAATATATTTTATGGTAATATCTCAAAAGCTCTTAATATAATTATAAAATTATGTTCCACCACACTCCTTTCTGTAAAACATTAAGAGAAACTACAAGAGTGTTTTCATTTCTTAAGAATTCATAAGATTTATTTTTTGCTGTTTTTATCTTAATCTATCTTTAATCATGTGTTTTAATGAAATTTATGTTAGATGCGTATTTCTTTTAATGAACAATTTCAAAAATTTAATTATATATAAATATTAAATCGGCTGTTATTTTAAACACTTTAATTTTAACCAAAATGTTTGCTGTCAAGGTACAACCCCTGTTCTCGCAAAGTATGGCATTTATGAACAATCCCTGAAGGCTAAGATTAACAAATCTCAAATTAGTTTCACAAATTGGAAGCAATTTTTGTTTTCTTATATGGGGAAATTAGCATTTGGTTTTGATGTCAAAAACTGGATTTTGACGTTTCAGTGGCGAAAACCTACTTTTTTCTTTGTTTTGGTACAGCAAACAATAACTTAATAAAATTTTCTTTAAAAGTGTTATTGAAAATTTTATTAAGTTATTGTAAATTTTTTTAAGTTATTGTTAAGTTATTGAAAATTTTATTAAGTTATTTTGATATTGTGTCAATAAATATATACATAATTGTTTTTAAAATACTTTCTAACATAAATTGTTAAAATTGTACACATATGTTTAATTCTAAATTTGTGAAGAAACTAAGTATCAAAATTTTGAACTTCGTAAAATATTAAGACTATGTTAAAAATAGTGTAGGACATATAGATTTCATTTTGCTATTGATATCCATTAAGCATCTAATTTTTTACAATACCTGCATATAATCTTGATATTCTTATTCAAAATTTTAAACTAAAAAAAAAACTAATTGAAGAGCCATTGCTATTTTATCTAATTTTATACCTTTTATTTACTTAAAAAATCACATAAATAAGTATAAGATCATTGTATCGAAGCATGCTATAGTAGTGCTTTGTTTTGAACACTTTTTATTAACCAGGCATAAAAATACATTATCATAATTTTTATCAATAATCTTAAGTCATTTTATGTCCAATATCTTTCACAATTTTTTTAAAAATTTAATGTCTTAAGATACACTTTTTATTTAAACTTTAATTAGTTGAGATAAAAATACAATGTCACCAAAGTTCGGGTCATCAAATTATTTTGACTAAAAAGGTTTTTAAAGTAAGGGAAAAAAAACCATGGTAAAAATCATGTGTCAAAAACTTGTCAACCCTGATGCAGATACTTACTTAAACTGAAGTTAAACAATTTTTATTCTGATTAACTTAATTTACCCATTATAGATTGAGATCAAGTACTGCCTGGCTCTGTAGCAGAATCGCGGTGACACGTCAAAATTGTCGCAAAATATTGCAGAGATTTTGCAGAAAGAATTTGGATTTTCAGAAGTTGTAAAGAATTTCGGCTTTTTGCGGAAATTTTTATCTCTAAAATTATAACTAAAAGATGCCTTTTTCGCACATCAGAGGGGAAAGAAATGTTCATGATTTTTTTATTCTTATTTGAGAAGAATGAAAAATATAGAATAATGAAGTAAAAATTTCTTTTCTGCAGAAATGTTGAAAGATTTTTTTTCCCTCAAAAAATCATTCTTTGACACGCTCATTTTGAGCAGATATTCTCATTAATTCATGAGGTATTTCAATAGTTCTTTAAAACAGTTAATGCTACAAATTTTTGCTTTGTTTTTTTCGAAATCCTGACATCTTTCATTGTTCAGTTATTATTTATATTCTCATGAATTTTTGAAATATACCAATATTATTACAGCAAGCGAAATTCGGATTCAATAAATCATTATTTGACACAGTCATTTTGCACCGATATTCTTGTTAATCCGCGAGGATTTTGCCGTCAATCTATTTTTCAGTAGACACTGCTACGGATTCCACGATTTTTTTATGTGATGTTTTACGAAAAAGGAAATAATAAGTGTATTTTCTTGTTTAGTAAAATGTGAGAATCTGGCCCATGATATTAGAATTAAACAAATATTACATATTCATTTAAAAATTATATACAATTCTATTTTATACAAATAGGATTTTTGTAAACACGTTTTTGATAATTTAAATTTAGTTAGTAGCATGTATATTTATTATTATTAGAAGCATCTCGCAGAAAGATATTTGTGCTAGAGAGGTTTGCCGCAGAAAGCCCAAAAAAATTCTGCCACAGGGCTGCCTGGCTAGTTTAAATGTTCTATGTGGCCTATTAGTATTGGTAGAGATCCTTCATTAATTTTATTAAAGTTGGAAATAAATATCAATCATAATAATATAATATATAATACAATATTTAAAAAATATAAATTTCATCAATTAATCTGAGCTGTCTGTGGTCGGTTTTGCTAACTCTCTTTTAGTTGTTACAGTTTTGCATAGTAATTAAATCTTATTTAAATAAAGCTTTATGTTACTATACTAACATTCCTAAATTCCAAGATAATTTGTGAATTTGAATACTATAATACGCTTGAGGAATTTTTCAATGTTGCTATTAGGGATGTAACGAATATTCGGCCACTATTAGGTATTCGGCCCTTTTGCCGAATATTCGGCCTAGCCGTATAATGAAGTATATGTTATTATTAATTATGCTGCTATTATTAATTATTTAGATTTGTGAAAGCCTTATTGTTGGCATCAAGATAATTAAAATATTACAAAAAAAAAACAAGTTGTTAAATTTTTTTTTAAATATAGAAAGTTTAAAAAAGAAAATTTGTTAATATTTATTTCATTTTTAATTTAAAATTTGAAAATTATTTAATTACAAAATTAAAATTTCAAAAGCGAAACTTTTTAAAAAGTTCTTAATTTTCTGAGTTTTAATAATTTTTCTGACAAAAGAGAAAGTTAAGAATACATTTAACAGTAGTAAGTAATGAGTTATCTTAAATAAAGTAGCATATAAATTACAAGTATAACTATAACTAAAATATGCTATTATTAAGTATTTAGATTTATAAAAGCCATATTGCCTTGTTAATGGCATCAAGATATTTAAATTATTACAAAAAATAAATCAAGTTGTTAAAATTCTTTTAAATATACAAAGATTAAAAAAGCAATTTTGTTAATATTTATTTAATTTTTAATTTAAAATTTGAAAATTACTTTAATTACAATCAAAAGAGAAATTTTTTTTAAAAAGTAAGTATTCGGCCACCGAATATTCGGTATTCGGCCTAAAATTTGGCCGAATATTCGGTATTCGGCCCCATCACTATTCGTTACATCACTAGTTGCTATGAAAAAAGAAAAAAATAAGAGATTCTAAAATCCAGCAATTTTTATCCATTATTCATCATTATCCTTGTAATCTTTTTTAATAAAAACTTTCGTCGTAGTATTCCTCTTAGTTAATTTCAAATCATAAAAAATATTGCCTTCAAAGCTGTCCAAAAACCTACTCATATAACCTTCACCTATTTAGGAAACATTGAAACTCAAAATTGCAATATATAAACACTTTTTTCAAAAAAGAACACAAATGACTATAGAAATAAGGGGGGGGGGAATGGATACATATTTAAAATACCTGAAGTTTAATGTTTTATTTCATATTTTAGATATTAACATGAATAATATGCATAAAAAAGTAGCTCAAAATATCTTTCATACCTAATATAAATAAGTCTCTAAAATTCAATACATTTGAGAAGGAGGGGGAAAAAAACAATCTAAGTACACTAATATCCAACTAATGAAATAAAAAATTACTGAGCACAACCTTGAACTAAAAGGTTTTTCTTTAAGTATATCTTAACAATTGAAAAACAACATAGTTACATCATAAAACTTCATAAGCCTGATGAATTCAAAGGTAACAAAAAATTTGAATATAAACAGTTAAGGGTATTAAATATTATCTTCAATAAGTATATTCTTATAGAATAATGTAACAATTCTAAATATTATTTTTTAATAATTAATTTTCTTATGATAAAATTGAGAAAAACGTTTTTGATTTTGTTTACTTAGACTAAAACAGTATTTTTCTGCAAAATAAAAAGAGATAAAGAAAGAACAAATTTTAATAGTTAAAAAATTTTAATTGTTAAAACGCGAAATATAAATATATAAATTTTATATTCTAAATGCATAAAAATCAACAAAAGGGAAAATTTCTAAATAGATATTAATCATATTGATTTTACAGATAAACAAAAATATGGGGTATTTTTAAACATTTGAGTGACAAATAACATCCATATTATTAACGAAGAAGGAATTCTATTTGCAAAGGAATTCTTGAAAACAAACATTAACGTCTTGTACATTAATTACAAAGTTAAAAACGGATAACTGGTCATGAAAGTTATTTTCTCAAAATAAGAAAATAATTCGCAGAAAATAGAAAGAAAAAGAAAAAAAAAACTTGAAAAAAGTTCTATGACGATATTGTAATTAACGAAAATAAATAAACTGCGATAAAATGTTAATTGCATACCTTTTAACTTCATTTATAAGGTCCGCTCATGTCTTAGAAGTATCAAGTTGAATCACAAAGCAAAAGTTTCCCATCGAATCACAAACAACATAACGGTAACAAACAAAAAATATTCAGTTTAACCGGCTGGAATGCTAAGCATTCCCATTACAACGTGGAAATAAACAATTGTGACAGGCTGTCAAACTTTATAATTTCGATTTATCCATAGCTATGTCTTCACTCAACTTTATAAAAGTTAGCAAAAATAAGAAATCGGTTTTGTTTGCAAACGTTTGTTAATTTTTACACACACTAGGCTAATTAATCCGATACAGAAAATCAACACATAAAGCGTTTCAACAAAACAAAACGATCAGCTTCAACAAAATTTATGGAGAAATTGAATTCAATCAATAAACTTGTCGAATCGATTGTATATTGCATGATTAATCGATATTTTCGTATCGATATGAAGAAGACATGAAAGAGAACACAAATATACACGGGAAATGAACTATTTAAAAAATATGGCAACGATTTTTATTCTCACCGCTTTTTATAAAAATAGCATAAAATGTCAATATGGAAAAAAGCTACAGTTTTGTGAAAATGAAAGAAATTTAAGATCTAATTTTTTAATGTTTGAAAAGTTACTGCAACACAACATTATTCCAGTGATTACAGAATCAAACTCCGCTAAAGAGGAGCCGGGGTTCGATCCTCGATTCCTCAAGACCCACTGAGAGCATGTTGTTATTGTTATGGATGGTGTTTTCTACACTAGGAAACGCTGCAAGTTCGGGACTGCCTAAATTTCCGGGTTACTGTTTCAGTTGTATTTTAAAGGCATTTGGCATCATTGTGTTTTGAGATTCTTGCAAACAATGTATTTGATTACTCATGTTTACAATGCTAACAATACTTGTGTTTGCAATACTAAAAGTGTTAACACCAACGTAAGATGGTGCACAGCTTGCAACACGAACAAACAGTAATAAACAAATGGAAAGAGGCCAAATCAAGACTGCCAAAAAAGCGAGATATTCAAAATCTAGCAACCATGTCACCTTTTTTAATAATAAATAACAAAATAACTAAAACAAATTTTCACTCCAAACTCACCAGAATTAAATAATAACATTAATATCTTATGAAATATGGCAGATTTGAGCCCAGAAATTATCTAATTTATTTCTTTTATTGAAAACAAAATTATCCGTCTGAAAACATCGCCTATCAGAATAACATGTAGTAAACAGCTGCAAACTTTTTAACCGGAACTAGAGTAGGCGCCGAGCTCAAGATTGTTATTGTTTACATTCCTATTGAAAACACCATCCATTGCTGTTAATTTACGTCGCACTAGAGCTTGCCCAATGGGCTATTGGCGACGGTCTGAGAAACATCCCGGAGGATGATCCGAAGACTTGCCATCACAATTTTGATCCTCTGCGGAGGGTATGACACCCCCGCTTCGGTAGCCCGACGACCTGCGCGCGAAGTCGAGCACTTTACGGTAGCACAGTTAAACGAGGGCCAATACCGCACACCCTCGGTCCCTACGCAGACTGATCCAAGTGGTCATCCACCCGCACACTGACCGCAACCAGTGATGCTTGACTTCGGTGATATGCTGGAAACCGTGTCTTAACGATCAGTCCACTGCAGGACCTGAGAGTATGTGACATACATGCATGTGAATCGAAAGATCTGTAGTCTGTCGTTAAAAAGTACCATGGGTAGAGAGATCTGGAGAAAATTTTCTTCCCCTTCAGATCGACGTCTAAATTGAGGAAGGTATGTTTCTCAGACAATCACCAATAGGCGATCGCAACGCTCTAATACGCCATCTGAGGAGGAGACTGGTTCCATCCCTTTGACCCTTCCCCTCCGATATTTTTCCCTATCTTAATATTTTTTGCATTTATCGCAAATAACTCGAAAAATTCTGCCACAGTGAAATCATGTATATACTGTAAGATCTGGTATTACTCTTCTACATATTTATTGTAATATCTATTCTTTTTTTCTTTATTTATTTTAATCATATCTGTTAGCATGTTACTTCCAAAGTTGTGCTACAAAATACTAGGGGCCTCCCTGGCCGAGCGGTATCGCCGGTCCAAACGCTCTGTTAAGCGTGGAGGTAGCGGGCTCGAATCCCGCCATAACCCTGGATGTATTCTTTGTGATGTCCTTCTCTGAATTGTTCTATCTGTATTTTCTACTTGACAATGACTTATAAGCCTATATTGAGCACACAAGTCAGCAAATGTATGTAATTTCAATAAAATAAATACAAAATACTAGATGCATAGCTGGCAACTCTACTGGATTTTGCGAGTTTATCGTGATCTACTCGTTGGTTGTCAAAAATATTCTTTTTAAATTTCCATGACGCTTTCTTTTAGAACTATGTTTAATGTAGTGTAATGCAATGTAGTTAACAATTATTTGTGGTGTTCTAAAAACTTCAGTGTTTTTATGCGTAAGTAAGTTATTATACTGCTAAGTTCAAGAATTTTTAAGTTTAATGTGATTAATAAATAATTTACTATAATAATTTATCTGAGAAGCATCATTTGAGCAAATATTTCATTTCCTTTATATTTGTTATGTGTTTATCACCTATTTGTCATTGTTTATATTCGTAGTTTAAGTTCGAACACAATATCAAAGATAATTCTCTAAAGCTTGCAATGACTTTGATAAAGATTAGCCTGTTTGAAACAGTCATGACAAGTTAATTAAACCCATTGCACATAAATAAAAAATTGTTGCTAGACGCTGAATTGAAAATTACAGACAATCCTAAATGCTAGTGAAGTTTATGAAGCAACATGCGGGGCTCAATTTGATCATCGATATATTTAGCTCGCAATAGACTCTGATATTAAGACTCTACGTCATCGATATTAAGACTCTACGATTTATGACTATCTTGGAGTGATGGTGAAAATAAAATCAGCATTGCGCACCTACCGCCTTTATTTCCCTGACAAGCTGGTACCCGCTCTAAAGCTGAATGGATTCAAAACCTAGACTAGATCCATAGTTTTTTTTCATCATATCTTTGGTGTGAATTTAAAAACATTTTGTTCACAGAACTCGATGTACAGTGTGCAAAATAAAAAAACAGACCACCCTGAATAAATTTTGATCTAATAATCGGATTTTCACGTTTTATAACTCAACCTTAAAGGTTCGAAGGGGTGATCTCAAATATGCTAATTAATTAGTGCAGGCGGTATTTTAAGTTACGAAATCAAACACAAAAATGTGCTTTCTCTGAATAAACATACCTTTTTTCCGACGAATTCCCCCAAAATATAGGGGTAGCCACAATCTGGGGAATATGGTCCCTATAGTTTGATCAGGAGAGCGATCCAAAGTTTGGATGCCTTAATCTTAATTTTATATTTTGCATATTTCGCTATATATAGAGACCTTTTTAAGCGAGTTAAAAAAAATTTTGAACATAATTTTAAAATTCGTTTATTCAAAGAAAATTGCATGCATAAAATAAACTTCAGTGAATATTTTTTATTTCTAATTACGTTATTAAATAATAGCTGGAAAATTTCTGAATTTTAAGGCATACAACTTTTTATACAATTTAGTAGTATGTAATTTTACACGGCAAAATACAAAATTGAGCTAAATCTATCGAATTGTTCCTACGTATATTTAAAATTCAATTTCTCTGAAACTATTCGACCGATTTTGCTCTAACTTTGCATTTTGTTATGCGAAATTACATATTTTAAAAGGATGTAAACATTTTATACCTCGCAATTTAAATTTTTTTCGACTATCACTTAAAATTATAAATATTTACTAAAATATATTTTTTGTATGATGTAATCTTTGGATAAACGAATTTCGTAATTGAGGGCAAATATTTCTCAATTCACTTAAAAATTTCTTGAGATATGTTGCCATGCACAAAAAGTAAAATTACCATTACGGGATTTTAAGCATTGGACCGCTCTCCTGGACAAACTATTGAAACCACATTTCCCAGATTGCGGCTACCCTCAATATTTTAGGTGTCAGAAATTCGAATCTGTTGAAAAAAAAGTTTGTTTGTTCAGAGAAAGTACGTTTTTGTGTCTGATTTCGAGACTTAAAATATCGTCTGCACTAAGTAATTAGCATATTTGAGGTTACCCCCTCGGGACATTACAATTGAATCCTAGAAGGTGAAAATCTGATCATTAGATCAAAAATTCTTCAAGGTGGTGCATTTATTTATTTGCTCACTGTATATAATTTCAGTAATATGGGTTGCAGTTTCTTCGATTACTATTATACTAATTAAATTGTATTATCCTTTTTCTGATGTAATCAATGCTTTAAATCGTTTACGATTATTAGTAATTTATTCTTGTTTAATCATTATTTAGAATGAATAACAATTGTAATTAACACCTAATTCTAAACGGTGACTTGTTGATTTGTATATAACTGATGGTCTGCCCCGACTACCAGCCGCGACAAAAAATCACGCAAGCGGCCAACTAATCATGGTGTGAGAGATCCCTTTGACGTCGGGTTAACAGTGAGAGATTCCATGAACGCAGATTTGGTGAAATTTTATCCAAACAATTTTTCATAAAAACAAGATAGTCTTGATACTTGACCCACGCATTCCGTTGTTTCCTAGATTGGGATCAAAATTGAAAGGGTCTCGGTCATGAAGAACTGTATTTTATATAATTTATGTTAGTAAAAATTATTTGTATCTTTAGTTTTGGTATTATTCAATTACAATCAGGACTTCTAGATATGATATTTATACGTAGAGGTTATAAAAATAATTTTAAAATAAATTTGTCAAACTGACAATTAAACAATTTGTCACTGCTGTAAAAGATTTTCTCGAAAAAGTTTATGAGTTAGCATGTATGTAAACGTTCAACCATTCCTGGAATTTTGCAGCAGTTTTTTCGTGTCAAGAATTTTTTCTATACATTATCGACAAAACACTGTTGAAAATAAAAATTTAAAATAAAAAAAAATGTAAAAGGAACTAATATAAAGAAAAACAAGCTTTTCTAAAGGCTAAAAATCTGCTTAGTTAAATTTTCCTTAAGTCGTTCAAAAAAAAATCGGAAGATAGTATTTTAAATCTGTTCCCCCTCTTTTTTTTGGACGTCTTATTTGAATTATCTAACAGCTATGTCTAAAATACATAAAATTAAAATAGAAAAGCAATAAATAAAATTTTAAACGAAGTTCTTTTAAAAACTAGAAGAATTTCTATTAGCCTTATTAATTGTATTGAAACATTGAGGCAATGCTTAATGTTCAAACTTCAACATTCTCATTCAATTAAAAAATAATAATAAAAATAAAAGGAGAGAAAAAAAAATTATAAATAATCTCACTAATTTTTTTTTCTTCAAATGGCAGGCACTGAACATTATTCTTCGCCTAAGAAGATGCCGAAATTGTTACTCATTTCACGTTACCCAGTGGGCACCTGTGAACCAAGGTCACGGAGGCGAGCAACATTATCCACGCCACACGGCCACAAACCCGTTTATAGGGTGGGCCACATTCACACATCACACACAACAGAGGACAACACAAAAGAGAGAAACATCCATGCCCAGAGCGGGATTCGAACCCGCAGCCATTGGCTTCGCAGTCAGGCGCGCTACCCGCTCGACCACCTGACCGGCGAATCTCGCTAAATTTATCTTTTGAAAATTATTGTAAACCTGATTCTCCTCCCTCTCAAAATACTGTCTTAAAAACTGCTGCTCACGTCATGCGCAACTTTGCACTTATATTACTGCTGGTGATCATTTATACTCTTGGAATTTACTTGCTTGGTTGAAGTTTAAAATTGATGTTTATTAATGATATTTTGTTTTATTGTTTCAAGCTTAAAGATATTTCCTTTTCTTGGATACAAAAAGTAGGTACTCGGTTTGATTGCATTTCATTTACCTTATTGAGTATTTAATTTACGCGTTGCTATTTGTTTTTTTAAGATTATCAATTAATATTAGCTTAAGAATTTAAAACTTAAATTTATGCTTGGGACGGCCTTACCCAAAGGACATTGAATGCTTATTATGCTCCCTTCTTAATTTCAATAAGTTTCAAGTAAACACTGAAACTATAATTTAAATTTAATTATCAATACTTTAATTTATTATTGTTATTACTATTTTACCTTAAATTTTTCTTTTGGGTGTATGAGTTGCCTATAGATTCAAGTAAATAGTTCCAGAGACATGTCAAAAAAAAGCAAAAAGTACATTTAACATAATTATTAAAAATAGAAATTAGCTCTAACGCTAATTAGATTTGGATTAATATCAAAATATAGCTCAACAAATAAAAATATTTCAGGAATTGGAGATTGGAGTTTTATGAGGCTCCAGACTACTTATCAGGATTTAAAAATAGAAACTGTGTATTACTATAATTTGAATCTAAGTTTCGCCAAACGTAGCATTTATAATATTTTCTTAACCCACTTTCGTGTGTATCTTATGGCTAGAAGATTGTACTTTAAATTTCGGTAACTTTACGATAAGCTTTAGCACTTTAATTTCGGGACAGGATAATACATGTTTTATTCATTTTCTAATCACCATAAGTAGAATTGATAGCTTATAGGAATAATCTTCTATCGAAGATTTGACTTTTTTCTTAGTAGCTGGGAATGTTCAAATTAAAATTGGAAGTCTGTGCTATATGCCAATACATGTTTTAACCACTTCCTGTCCACTATAAGCAGAATTTATTACCAGATTATTGGCTAATAGGAAATTATCATAAATCTAAATGTAAACCCCTTCCCGACTAGCTAGTGTGCGCGATTTCAGAATAAACGTCTTAATCGGGTGCATATACACCATCCCTTAAATTAATTGCGCTTATTAAATGGGCACTAGAATTGTATAACTACAAATTCAGAAATTTTTTGACCATTATTAATTGAAATAATGTGGAAATTTTTATTTTTTTTTTTGACAGAATTATCTTTGGTTAAATAAATTTTATAATTTGTGTAAAAATTTTAACTTATTTGAACATGAATGTTTGGATCTCTTAATGTTAATAAAGCTTTTACAGTATTTTGCTACATTTGAAGAACTTTTGAACTTTTTTAAGCGAATCATGAAGTTTTTGCACAAGATTCGTTTATCCAAAGATAATTCTATGCAAAAAAAACTTGAAATAATTATTTTTTATTTTATTTACTAATTGTCGAAAACACTTTGCATTGCTAAATATAGAATTTTTTTACATAATTTTTAAGAAAGTAATTTTAAAGGCAAAATAAGAAATTTGAATGAAATCGGACTAATAGTTTTTAGGTAGTCCAATTCTAAAAAAAGTTATTTATGTAAAATTCGGTTTCTGAAGAACACTTCGATTGATTTTATTCAAATTTTAAATTTTTGATTTGCATAAGAAGTTTTACAAGGCGAAATTCGCAGAAAGAAATTTTAACATTTAAGATTTAACCTTTCTACCGCTCTTCTTCATAAACTGTTGATACCATATTTCGCATCTTAAAGGTTCGAAAGGATGACATACATGCTAATTAATTAGTGCACATATTTTAAGTTACGAAATCAGACAGAAAAACATATTTTCTCTGAACAAACATGCCTTTTTTATGGTGTTTCTTGGGTTTTTGACTCACAAATTATAGGAGTGGCAGCAATCTGGGAAAAAAATATTTATGGTCAGAAGAGCGTTTCATAGTTTGTACCCCTTAATGTTATGTATTACTTTTAGGTATGAGACCACATCTTGAGAATTTCTTAAAGCGAATTGAAAATTTTTTTGCACTGAATTAGAAAATTCGTTTGTCCAAAGCTAATTCCATGCAAAATATAACTTTTAGTCAAAATAATTATTTTTTATTACTTTAGTAAATGATAGTCTAAAAAATTTTGAATTTAAGTTAACAATTTTAAATAGAAAAGCGCAAAATTTGAACGAAATCAATCGAATAGCTCTTAAAAATGCGACTTTTTCAAAATTCGATTTTTCAGGAACTATTCGATCCATTTTACTCAATTGTTGTATTTTGCCATTTAAATTTCCCTCTTTAAAATGTTATAAAAAATTGTATACTTTACCATTCAAAAAATTTTCAGCTATTATAAAATAAAATAAAAAATTAAATATTTGTCGAAAGTTATATTTTGCAAAGAATTATCTTTAGATAAACAAATTTTATATTTGTATGCAAAATTATTTTAATTCATTTAACACTAGAAAGACTGAAACTTAGTATATACCTATGTTGCCCAAAAGCAGTCAAAATGACTGCTTTTTTCAAATTTGTTTAATTAATGTTTAATATTTTTATATTATTTACAGTTATATAACAAGTTATTAGTAAATATTAACAATAAAAAAATTTACTTCAGTTGGAAAGAAAATATTAATTTATGCATTTTTATTTGCACATTTTTTGCAAATGAAAAAGCAGTTGAAAAGCAGTCAAAATGACTTCCTGTAGGCAACCTAGTGTTAAAAAGCTCTCAAGACATGGTGAAATACGCAAAAAGTAAAATTAACTTTAAAGGGTCTAAGCTTTGAACTCAGACCACACTATTGGGACGATTTATCTCAGATTGCGAATACCCGTTAGGCGGCTCTTTTGACCAAACTATTATTGAGACCATATTTCCTAGATTGCGGCTACCCCCTATATTTTGTGGGTCAGAAATGTGCATCCGTCGAAAAAGGATGTTTTTCACAGAAAGTACGTTTAATATTTCTCTAATTTCATAACTTAAAATATCGTTTGCATTAACACATTAGAGGTCCATCGAACCCTTAAGAATGAGTTCTAGAACGTAAATATCCGATCATTAGATTATCTCGCACTAGAGTGAACTTAAAGACATTGTTCCCAGTATAACACCGAAGTCAAGCATCACTGGCAACGATCAGTGTGTGGATGGGTCATTACTTTGATCAACCTGTAGAGGAACCAAAGGTGTGCGGTATCTATCCCAATTAAACTTTTCAACCATTAAATGCTCGACTTCACGTGCAGGTCGTCAAGCTACCGAAGAGAAGATCCATCCCCTCTGCAGAGGATCGAAATTGTGTTGACATGTCTTCGGATCATCCTCAGGAATGTTTCCCAACTCTACACCAATAGCAAACACAAAAAAAGTTTTATTTTTTTAGTAAAAATTTGTTATTATATGGAAGTATGCAAAAACTGGGTGTATATATGGAAATAAAATTGGGAATGCATGGAAATGATGAAAAAAGATTCATTTTTTTCCTACTGAAATATGTCCCGCAGATCTATAAGACACGGTTCCCAGCAGATCACCGAAGTCAAGCATCAGTGGCTGCTGTCAGTGTGCTGGTGGGTGACCACTTGGATCAATCTGCGTAGGTACCGAGGGTGTGCGGTATTGGTCCTCGTTAAACTGTTCTACCGTAAAGTGCTCGACTTCGCGAGCAAGTCGCCGGGCTACCGAAGCGGGGGTGCCATCCCCTCTGCAGAGGATCAAAATATATCTTCGGATCATCCTCAGAGATGTTTCCCAGACCGTCGCCAATAGCCCATTGTAAAGCTCTAGTGCGACGTAAATGAACTACAACGACAACAACCTACTGAAATATTTTCATAGAAACAAATAAAAAATATGACTTTATTGCTCTGATAAACTTTCAGGAGTTTAAAAAATCAAGGACGATTAGGAACATATTTGGAATTTTTCGCCAATTATGTTAATGAACCAGATTCAAGAGCATAAATTACTAATAAAATTTTTAATATATTTCTCCGTTACTGTAACCAATCTCCCAAGAATTTTTATTTGAAGTGTCATGGAATATAGTTACCAGTGGTTATATCAGACCTATGCCCCGGCTTTATACGACAGCACTATTCAGCTGACTTTAGATGTTATACCGATTGAGCAGCCTAGTGCTAGCTCGATTTGTTCATCGTTCATGATCTGGATTGGTCGAGGGAAATTCTGTCATAGCACCAATCAAGAAAAGAAGAGCCTCTGCGAACTTCGCATTGAACGAGTCGGAAATGCCCCTTTACTGTTTGAGTTGAATACTACCAAAGATGATGTTTGTTTTAGTTATTTTTTATTGATAAATTCACTGCAACTTCTACTTTCTGCTAAAATATCAGATCTGTTTATGCGAAAGTTTATAAATGCCGGTCTGATTATGGAAGAAAAAATTAAATTAATCGTCGCGGGAAAAACCCCTGAAAATGTAAAATTCTTATTCAGTTACTTTCCTATTTATTATTACAATTGTTTTGATTTAATTAATTTCTGTCATCCTAAGTAATATCTTCTGCTATTAACTGTTCATTATGGCGTCCATTGGTGTTACCGAAACTTTTAAATTCATCAGCTGTTTGTAAAATGTTAATGTTTTATTTCTTGTTATTGCCTGAAACTACTTTGTATGCGTTCGGATAAGTAATTTAACTGTTCTCCATTCATGTTATAAAATTTTTTTGGAAGGGTTTTGTTAATTGATCACTTTTCTTACCCTGTTGTCAAAAAGATGGATGATCAGTCTAAGGAACAATTGTATGAGTTGGAAAATTATCTGTAATTTTCTAGTAACCTCAAAAACTGAACTCAAATTCTTGTATTTTTTCCATGTAATTTACGCATGATATAATTATATCTATACATATATATTTATATAATTCGAGTGCTAGGCTTATTCAAATTTAATATATTGTATAGTGATTTTTTATTAATTTATAAACAACGTGTTACTCTATACTTTACCTTATTCTATTGCTTTGCTTGCCCATTTAATAACCTATCTGTAATAATGTATTATTGTCATATTGATTTTAATAGTTACATCTTATATCAATATGGTAAATATTTACAATTGGATTCGCCTCTTGGGGATCGATTGTGGGAACTTCAGTTGCCAAGGTGCCAAATAGATTTTAAACTCACAAATTTAAAAAACAAAACAAACATGTTTACTGAAGGGTGGCTACGAGTTTCACCTTTAGAGTTGGTCCTTTTCTGTGATGTTTTTTTTAGTTTTTATTTTCTCTGGGAGGGGGGGGGCTGCTGGGGGAGATTTCCATACTGTGATCTGTGGCAGAATAATTGCCATGTCTTGGCAACTTCCTTGCAACAACCCTCAAGAAGCTAAAAAAATATATATAATTGTCTGATAATAACTTGTGAAATACTTTTGGATTTTGTTGTTAATGCTTATATGTTGTAGGGACATTATCTATAAATTAATTGGCTGTTGCCCACAGGGTTGGCTTTTTGCCGTCAGAAATTGATTTTTGCCATGCCAGTGGCAGAAACTGGTAATAATCGGTAAAAACTGGCAGAAACTAAAAAAACTTCTATATTAGTTCTAGTAATTGCTTAATGACATTTTGTTTAAGTGAACTGAAAAATTTAACTCCATGTAACTGTAACAAATTTTTTAATTCATTGTTTGTAAATATATATTATTTTGTTTATATTAAATATAAAGAGTGCAGCATATCAAATATTTATATAAAATAGAGAATAAAGTAATGTAATAATAAGTATTAATACTAGATTTTAGTTTATTATATTAAACTCCGAAATTCAGTAATTATTTTCATGTAACACTTAACGTAACTGAATAGAGCTATTTTCAAATAATTTTTTTATTTTCAAGACATAATTTGCATGGCATACAGATTTAAACACAGTTGCTGATACATAGTGACATACAGATTTAAACAGGCAGTTACTGATTATCATTTGCTAGCTTATATGCTGCATCCAACGTATTTGGGATTGAAATTATCACGTGCTGAAGAAGAAAGTGCCAGAATTTTACTCTCCAATTTTAACCCAGATTTTGTACCTTATGTCATAGCTTTGCAAAACTAATTGACACTATTTCCTGAAACTTATTTTTCCAGTCAAGTTTTGACAACTACCCCAGCTGCTACATTATGGTCCTGTTTTAAAAAATATGCAATAGATGAAAGTTTCACAAATCTTGCTTGTTCCTTGATGGCAATGCCTGCTAGTTCTGTTGGACTTGAGAGAATCTTCTCAAATTTCTTGTTCGTGTATAGCAAATTTAAAAATTGTTTAGGTTTAGAAACTGCATCAAAACTTCTCTTTTGTTATAGATTACTACAGAGTGCAAACAATGTAATTATTGATTTTGAATGGTGATAATTTTGTAAGTAAATTTTACTTTGTTTAACATTTAATTGTTTTTTCTATGAATTATCCATTGTATGTCAATCTCAGTTCTTACTTTTGTCATTATCTGAATTTCTGCCACAAATGACGCAGATAAGGGTTTCTACCATGCCAGTTTTAACCGGTTCCTACCAGTGGTTTTGACCACCTCAGCAGAAACTTGCCAACCTTGATTGTCCTTGGCTTCACCAGTGCTGAAATACTAGGGTTATTAACTATTTTCAAGGGATATGCATGATATTGTGAAATTTTAAATTAAATTTAAGTAATTATATAAAAAAAATTTCCTGCAATCACATACACAAACAATCTTTAGTATACGTTCAGGACATTCCAGCATAGTAGACAGCAGAAATGGTTATATTTCCGTTTTGTGATCTGTCACGCCAACTACAATTGCTGAGGTGCCAAATTAGATTTTAAACTTGCAAATTTTTGTTAAAAGAAAAAGAACAAGCAGATGTTTGCCTGGGGGTGGTTAGAAGTTATACCTTTCGAGTTGATCCCATTGTGTGATATTTTTTTTAGTTTCTCGCTGGCTGCCCAAAAGTTGCCTATTGTTCTGCCACAGATCATGATACAGAAATCTCCCCTCAGAAATATTAAATTTATTTCCATCGTTGTTGTAAGACAAGATAGAAATTAATTATATCCTGATATAATTGCCTGAAAATTTATAAATAATTTTATTCTTAAAAATCTGAAGTAATCATGATATAAATTAATTAAAATCAATATTTAGATTAATAAAAATTACCAATCTGTAGTTATTTTCTATAATATCAAATATTATTGATCTTTAAGTATAAATTAAACCACATATTTTGAAAAAAGCAGTTAATAGTTTCAATTATTTTGGCTATAATTTTTTATCATGATTATATAATATGAATCATAATTATAATAATTCAAATACAGTAGAGAACCGATTATTCGGAATGATCGTGACCATCACTATTCGGGATAACTGATTTTTTCCGGTTTTCTGAATAGCTATAAAAAGCAGTCTTTTTATTAAACTCAAAAAAAAAAAAAAAAAAAAATATGTGGCNTTTTTTGATTTGTAATACACTAATGATTATTTCCAAAATGATGGTAAGGTGAACATCTTTCAAAAAAGAAAGAAAAATCTTAAAGTCTTATAAGGAAAAAAAAAATTTTTTTTAAAAAATTGCGGGGAAAATTTATCGAATTTCATTCCGGTTTTTTGGTTTTCTGATTTCCGGATATCTGGTTCTGTACTGTACAAATATTGGGCTTGATTTAAATAGTCATGTAGCTTGACTTCTAAAGAAATTCTTAGGTTTTTGTCTGATTTCTACATTTTTTAATTTTGTTTAAACCTTTAGCACCGTTCCACTCTGAGAATAGACTTTTTACCAGTTGTTACTTTGTGCGGAGTGAATAATAGTTATATATTACTTTTTGTTACATATATTGCCCACTTTATGTTTATTGTCATTTATTTTCCATAAAATATTGCAACATAAAGTACTATTTATCATTTTAGTAAGTATAAACTTGTTCATTAAATAGATTCATTTTATTTTTCTCTGTGAATTAATATTATATGTATTTCTTAAATCTATTTGTTTTTGGTTGAACTTACTTTTTTTTGTTGTAGGTAACAGAATTGCAACTCGATGGATGCGAAGGTCCTCCAAAGTTGCAACTTGTGCAGCAATTTTCTAATCTAGAATCTCTCAGTTTAAATAATTGTTCTCTTACAAACTTAAAGGGATTTCCAAAATTACCATCATTGAAAAAAGTAAAAAAAACTCATTTATTTTATGCAATATTATAATAACTAAAATCTATTTCATGTCTTCTTAACAATAGGTTTTTTATTTATTTGCTTGTAAAATATTTCATATTGAACAAAAGTGTTTTATTATAAAAGATTAGGAATTGGCTTTCATTGTGTAGAGTAAATTTTTCTCGAACTTCTAACACCTTTGTGTTCTGGGGAAAACGTACTAAAGTTTCAATTGAAAATAAATAAAATCTAATTTTGTCCCCTTATTAAAAGTTAATGCTTATAGTCTTGGAAACATTTATCTTCCATTAATAAATTTCTGTCTTTTTATTCAACTATTTTAGATATACTAAGTTAGAAAATGTAGTTTTTGAGTATTTTGTAATGATATTTATATAAAAATGTTTTTTGTAACATCAGTCACAAGCGCTTTTTCTCTATTTGTCATTTCATGTGTACTTTTAATGTTTTTTTTTTTTAAAAATAACAACCACATTATTGCTTTTAAAAAAAGAATTTCGAAATAAAAATATATTTTACCCAGTGTTCTGTCTAATGTAACATCAGTTACATGTTATGTTTTCATTCTAAATAAAACATCTATAATTTTAATCTTATTTGCTTAATATTAGGCTATTGAATCATCAATATATCATTTATCAGATATCAATCATATTTATCAATGAAAAAGTTTAACAATAAGAAAATCTATCAAAATGTAACATCAGTTACCATGAAACTTTATTAGGAGTGCACAACCTGCATCCCGCGAACAGTTGACGTAAGCCCATGGCAGTGCCTGAATATTACAGAAATATTACATTATGTTAAAAAAAAAATAATAAAAATTTTAAATTTCGCTATCTAGTTTTCATTTTTTGATTTCCTTAACTAAGCAAATTCTATTTATTTTATATCTTTTTATTTTATTTTTACAGTTATTGATACAAATGTCTATATGGTTTGAAAATTTTAATATTTTTGATACAATATTATGATGCACAAATTTAGAGTATGAGTAAATACTTTCTGAAGTACTTGATTACCCTTTTATTTATTACCTGTGTTGTTGACCAGCAATTTTGCTCAGAAACTATATCATGCTTTTTTTTTAGTCCTTTATGTAATTAAATATGGCAGTAACATTCTAAATAAATTTTGGTAAATTTTATTTGTGCTGAATTAAATAAAATTAAACTTATTTAAGACATAATGTCTAAAGCTTTTGCAATAGCCTATATCATCCTGTGTTTCATAAATTGAAATAGAGAATGCAAGTGCATTACCAAGTTAAGCCATCATAGGTCAACAACATTTGGCCATGAAGAGACAAGTTAAATCTTCACTGGCCAACAATGTGTTAATACCATATAATTATGACATGTGGTTTTTGAAATACGTTTTATATAATTCCCTTTTAATATACTTTATTTGTATCGTCAAAAATTCAAGTTTTGAGGACAGTGCACTGCTTTTCCAAATTGTATTTAAAGTCTCCATTATTAAAATTCAACATTAGTACGATACAATATTAAAAGTGCTTTAAAAAAAAACTTTCATATTTATCATTCATAAAACCTCTTCTATTTTACTAGAGGTAAAAAGTACAGTACAGAACCCGTTATCCGGAAATCAGAAAACCGGAAAACCAAAAAACCGGAACGAAATTCGATAAATTTTCCCCCCATTTGAAAAAAAAAAAAAAATTTTTTTTCCTCATAAGATTTTAGAATTTTTCTTTCTTTTTTGAAAGATGTTTACCTTACCATCATTTTGGAAATAATCATTAGTGTATTACTCCATCGTTTTTTCTTCTTTTTAAGATTATTTCCAAAAAAAAATTTTTTTTTAGTTGGGTTTAACAATAAAAAAACGGCTTTTTGTAGCGATTCAGAAAACCGGAAAAATCAGTTATCCGGAATAGCGATGGTCCCGATCGCTCCGGATAATCGGTTCTCTACTGTATATTCTTAACTCCCTTCAAGTATAGTCTCAATTAAATGTTGAATCTTATTTTGTGCCATAATGGTTTTGTTTTTATTTTAATCATAATCATTTTAAGCCCTGTAAGTTCTTTTTAATTAGATGGTATTTAATTTGCATTTATATTTCTTAATAAAATATTTAATATTTAAATTTTTTTATTCATTGAACATTTAAAAGTGTTAGAATTTTTTTAAAAATAATTTTTGTTTTATATGGTGTGATAAAAAAAAACATGATTTTTTCCCCAATATTTATATTTATTTTGATAAATCTGTATGTGTTAAGACTGAAAAGTATTAAAAAAAAATATCAGTTTTGCTTTTTGCAGTTTTAAAAGTTCTTTCAGTTTTAAAAGTATTTAATTTCATTATAAAGTATTTAATATTACTGTCAAAAAGGATTTAGTGCCTTCATAAAATAACCATAAATGTGTCTCATTAATATCTAAATAATTGGCCTTGCAGCCTTTCTCTAAAAATTTCTGTCATCTAAGCATATTAAAAATTGAAGAAAATTAAGTAATATTTGTTGTGATGTGAATTATATTAAGGTTATCAACTGCTTTATTTATTTATATTTTAAATAAAGAAAGAGTAACTTGTGTTTGTTTTATCATTCTTTTCTAATTCTTATTTTTCTCCCTTTTGATCTGCGTAAAGTATTTGAACCTTTGCTAAATTTCTGAGCAAGGTCAATTAAAATGTGTTACTGAATCTAATTTTTTATTTTTATCTTTGCATACATTATATTTTCAAGTTTATTATGTAAGATAATAAACTGCAGAACTTTGGCTAAGGGAAGAATGTCTTGGCATAGGCTTGTCTAGAAGGCCAAGGCCCACCCTGGGCTGTTGTGCCAATGAGAAGAAGATACATTATATTAATTTTCAATGAAAAATAATTATGCATAAAATTTATAATAATAGCTCTATGAATTTGTCTTTAGTGGTTTATATTTGTCAGCTAATAATTTCTTAAATATGAGCTAATAGTAGAGCATAAACATTGTTGTTTACACTCTTGTATAATTCGAATTTTAAAATTTATTTTTAATTTTTTTTATTTTTTTAAACTTTTAGTTGGAATTGAGTTCAAATAATATAGCAACTACATTCTTTCTTCTCCATGGATGTTACAATATAACTCATTTGAATTTGAGCAACAATAAGATAAAAGATTTGTATGTGTTAAAACCTTTAGTAAGTATAAATTTAAAAAATTCTGTTTAAAATATATAGTCACATGTAGAGATTCAAAATTTTTAGAACAAGGATTTTGTTATTTAAAACTAACATAATTCTGCATAAATATTTTAGAAATACGCAATACACAATTCTTAATTTTATTTAAATAATATCTGAAAATAAAATTTTCCAAAAATATTTTTTTAAATGTTTCTGATTTATATAGACCTTACTTAAATTATATAAACAAATTCTTATTTAAAGTTTAATGCTTCTAACTTTTTATTCAGAAATAAGCTCTTATCTAGAAATTTACACTTTTTGATTTCATTATCTAGTTGAAGCATAGCATGAGATCAAGCCTCAATCTTGGTTATGGATTTTAATCTGCAGCACAATCTTTATCAATTCAAAGTTGAATGAAATTCCAAGACTGTAAAACATAGGCTGTTTTTGTAAGAGTTAGGCTTAATACAACATGCCCATAAAAAATATTTAAATAAATATGATGCATAACAATTAAGCGCAAGAAATTTTTTTTTATTTTAAAAAAGGGAAGTTTCCATACCACTTGTAAGCAAATAACCAAAGATTTTAGTTCATTAATGTGAATGTTAGAAAATCAGATATTATGCATATTTAGCTTTATATCTACAGAATAGTTTGAGTTTTTAAAAGTTTTTCTACAGTTCAGAAAATTTTTGCATATACGTAGGAAATGATACTTTTCTACTGTGAATATTTTCTTTCTCCCAAATTTTTACTCATTTTTTTTTATTTCTCAATATACTATAAAAACATTATGAATTAAAACAGTTTTCAATTGTTGTGAGCACATTTTTAGTAGTAAGAGAATCACAAGCTATGATCCAGTTTTGCCGCATAAATTTCTAGATTTCTTCGGTAATTATCAGCATAAAAGGTATAATGACACTGCTAATCTCTTAATGTCCCACAGTGGACTGATCGTTAAGACACGGTTTCCAGCAGATCACCGAAGTCAAGCATCACTGGCTGCGGTCAGTCTGCTGGTGGGTGACCACTTGGATCAGTCAGCGTAGGGTGTGCAGTATTGGTGCTCGTTAAACTGTGCTACCGTAAAGTGCTCGACTTCGCGCGCAGGTCGTCGGGCTACCGAAGCGGGGGTGCCATCCCTTCCGCAGAGGATCAAAATTGTGAGGATTCGTGAGAAGCTCATCATCAGGGATGTTTCCCAGACCGTCGCCAATAGCCCATTGTGCAGCTCTAGTGCGACGTAAATTAACAACAACAACAGCTAATCTCTTAAATATTTTTGTATCCCTAAATTAAAATATGATATATTTTTTTCTGTAATTCTTGCTGTATTTATGTTTTTTGTTTTTATTATTATTTCAAGTTAAATTTTTTTATTATATTGCTGTCTTCTGTAAAATCCTTATTGTACAACATTATGTTTTACATAGGGGTGCACAAACTGGATCCTGCAGGAGCTTTTTGATTCAATTTATTATTTTTTTAAATTTATTATTATTTTTAATATAACTTTATTATCGCAAATTTAAGTCATGACTTTTTGATGCTTTCAATTTTCACAGATTCTATTGTAAATCTATATTGTTCCTCAATCACTTTTTCAATGTTCATTGCTATGGAATTCTGTATGTTTTTTAAATTTTTTTTTTTTAAGAACGATATTTTTAATGCCGTATTACAATGCGCAAGTTTTGAATTTGGGAAATAACTTTTTGGCTGCATTGTTTGTGCCCATTTTATTATAAATCCAAGTGATGTTTCTAGTTATTTTTTTTTGGCATTTATAACTACCAATTTCCATGTGGTTTTTAAAATCCCAATACATTTAATGCAATATTCAGACTTGTTAGTTATAAATCATGTATTTAATTTATTACTTTTTGACATGCTTCATTTTTGCCAATTTCATCATAAATCTAAATAAATTGTTTTAGTTTTATTAAAGGCAGTTATTACTATGATTTTGTACTTGATTTTGTAAATTCTGTATTTTCACTACGATATTCTTATCCAATGTTTTTCTGATCGTTTTTCAGCCGCTTCTGTATAATTTTTTAAATTGCTTCCTATATATTTAGTAGGGTGTTACGACATGAGAATGTCGAATTTGAGCCCTGGCTGTTTTCAAAGTGTTTGATTTGTGACGATTCCATCATGATATTACGTCGTTAGTTGATAGTTTATCAGCAGTTTTATATAATTTTTTTTCGGCTCCTTTAACATAGTTTTTTAAATTTCCAATTTCACATGGTTCATTCATAGTTTTTTCTGAAGTTATTACTCATTTTTTTCAATTGTTTAGACATTATTTTTCAAATTCAGGTATTTTTCATATATAATGCTATTACGCACTTGAGTGCACCTATGCCCTTTAAGTGCCAAATCTTGTTTGTATCTGCAAGAACAATTTCTGATTTGTATGATTTTGTGCAGAAACGAATTCAAAAGTTGGATTATTATTTGTCTGTTTGATTATTTAAAATTTAATGAGTCAAGTGTTCAACTATTTACTTAATATTTTTTTATAAAAAGACCTTGATTCTCGATTTTTTCTTCTCGATATTCTAAAATCATGTTTCTATTATATCTAATAAGTTGTTGATAAATCAATCTCTTTATGTTGTTTTTAAAATAATAACTTTCCCAAAATAGCTTGAAAAATGGAATATATTCGAGACATAAGAATCACCTTGAATCCATGTACACTGTTGAATTTATTATAGTCTATTTTTTAATTTTTTTAGAATAAACTCAAGAATTTACAATCATTGTTGCTGGTAAACAACGAAATTACTTCAATTAAAGAGTATAGAAAGAAAATATTCAAGATGTTGAAAAGCTTAACTGATCTTGACGGAGAGGATAAAACACTTGCAGATGAAGGTATAATGTTAATTTTGATATATCCGATAATTGCAAGGTAACAATTATATCTTAATCATATTAAGTTTTTGATAATTTGGTAACAATTCATAAAAAATGCCAATAATTCTTTGATTAAAAGTAAGGCTTAATTAATTAATTTATTTTTTGCATTTCATTTCCCTCAGATTCAGCTGTCCACGATAAAGAAATCCAAGCCCATTCCATTTTAATTTTTCAGGAAAAAATATTCTGCTCTCTCTGTAGTTCATGAATTTCTTCAACAGCTTTTATCTCTGGCTGATATTCATTGAAAATGAATTAGCTTAGCTTATGCTTAGCAGTAGTTTCTTTGACAACGGTATTTTGAAAATTTCTGTGTTTTTATTAATGGTTGTTCATTTAATTTATGTTTCATTTTACTTACACCTTCCCAATTCCTGTCGGTTTCATTAGATATTCATAGTCAGGGGGTTTGCATGGAACTAGCACCTTTTCTTCCACTTCAACTAAGGAATGGAGTAGCTGACACTCCTTTTTTCCCATGGCATTTCGGGATCCCGGTATGCTTTCAGTCATGCATGGGGAGGAAAAGCACTTTAGTGGGGGGAGCAAATTTTTCTACTACATCATTATAGCAATCCACGGGAAAAGTTCCATTGCAAATCGAAATGCGTGTTAAAATGGGGTTTATCGTTTTTACTGGGATACAACAACAAAACTAAGAAGCGAAAAGGGGAAGAATCTTTGAACTTGTTTTTTTTTTTTAAAAAAAATTTTGAAACTACCATTTTCCTTAAGTTGAATTTGAGAATGTATCGTTGAACAGTAGTAAATTTGCCCTGACATATCCGTGCTCATGTAATGATAAAAATGTTACTGAAGTTTATTAAGAAATACTTTTGTTTTCTTTAACAACAATCTAGCAGTTTAAGTTAGCATTACTCTCATTCTTGTCTTCATTCGCATTGTTTGATCAATTTTTTTTCCTTTATAACATATCCATATCTTAAATCATTTATTGGAAATTTTTTTAAAACTTTAAATAAATTCAGAGCTTAAATTAGTGAAAATCAATGCATTTGTACCATCCAATGGAAGTTATAAATGCCTTTTATTGTGCTGCCATCTGCTGATAATAAAGAGGAACCACCATTAGAAATAGGGTAAATGGTCGACCTAATTCTTTCTTAATTTTTTTTGTTGTAGAAAATTACAAGTTCCACAGGATGCATCATATATTTATGTATGCACCTGTCTGTGCTTTTTGGCATATTTGTAAGGGAAATGACTAAACATAGTCTGGTTTAAGCCTATTGATTACTTAGTTTGTCTACACTATTTTAAAATTAAATAATATAGTGTACCAACAAATTTATTAATTTTAACATTTGAAGAAATTGGAAAAATTTAATGGCTTTTTAAAATTTAACTAATTTTGTTTCTTATCCTCTGGGTAAAATAGTGCGTGTAAGATTTGCTCTATTTAGGTTATTAATGTTGGTGCAATCATTTACAGTTGTGGGATTTGTTATCAAATATTCCTTTGTACTTAACTTGGTATAGTGTCACTATTAATTGAATAATACCATATTGTTGTTAAATTTTTAAAAAAAAATTTGTAACCTGAAATTATCGTACTGCTGGTTTATTTTCATTTTCACCCCCTTTCTTTACCGGATAGCCCTTTGTTTGACAAACTATTAGAATCTCCGTCTATTCTGTTATCTTTGCTAGGGTATTCCAGTTTATCCTCAACCAAAGCAAGTTTGCTGAGAACTAGGTAAAAGTCCTCATCAATAAAGTCTATCTCAGTCTGGGACTACTCCCAACTCCGTTACCTATTGGTTTGAAATTGAAAACTGGACTTTAATGAGGATGTTTTCATTCTGCAAAAGTGTTCAGCAAATTTAGTGTTATTATTAAAATGTTAATGTTATTATAATGTAAATGTTATTGTTAATGTTATTTAACTTATGTTGCTGATAATATTTGTTTTTCTATATACAGCTTATTATTTTATCTTTGCTAGTTCACTAGACGCAAAATTCTTTTTAAAACTTTCTTTTAAAGATAACTTGCTATCTTCATGTTATTGCCTAGACATTTGAACTATAAAGGTAGGCACATGTCTAATTATGGTTTTTGTTTCCTTTTTTTAAGCAATTTTAGTTGTGGAAAATTTCTTAATACTGTTACCTAGAGATTTTAAATTATTCTATCTTGATAGTTTAGCTGTTAAACTAATTTTTTTACTAAATGCTGTTTATTTATTTAATACACACACTGTTTTTGTACCTATTTTAAAATCACTTAAATATTTGTTTGCCCATGCATAATGCCTAGGTCAGTTTATATTTCTTTCCTTAATGAAAAAAAAATGCATTCTATTCACATGACTTTCTTTACTTATTTAGAACCCATTGAAAATGAGGATCCTCAGGAAACCAAACCTAGGAAAAGGAAGTCTAAAGCACTTGACTCTCCTAAGAAAAAAATGAAATTATCAACTTTCCAAACTAAGAATGCTTTGATGCAGCTAAATGAATTAAAACCAGGGCTAAAATATGTTGTTGAATCTGTTTCTGGTCCTTCTCATATGCCAGAATTTGTTGTTTCAGTTGAAGTAGATATGCAAAAATATGTAGGCCGGGGAAATTCAAAACAGACAGCTAAACATTCTGCTGCATTAGCTGCTCTCTCATCATTTGTTCAATTTCGAAACATGCCAGAAGCAATGCTAGCATTAAGTCAGTCACCTGCAACATCAGATTTTACTATGGACAATGTTGAGAATGAAGGTTATAATTTTAACAAGTTTGAAGTGAAGAATAATGGCAATGGAAGTGAGATAATGATATCTTCGGGAAATCAAGCTCTAAAGAAAAATTTTAAACTTTTATCTGAAGCTGATAAGAAAAATCCTGTTATGTTATTAAATGAGATACACCCAGGCTTGACATATAAACTTATTGAAGAAAATGCAGGCCAACCAAGCCAGCGTTTTCGCATGACAGTTGAAATTAATGGGGAAATCTATGAAGGCACTGGTCAAAACAAAAAACAAGCTAAAGCATCTGCGGCTCGCGCAGTACTATCAAACATGTATAATGTAAGTTATAACAGTTTAATCACTGCTTCAGTTCCACCCGATTCTCCAGAAGCAAAGCTATTTAATTTCCCCCAAGCCATAGCTGATAAAATAGCAAAAATGATGAATTCAACATTTAGCGATGTAATGGTTAGCAACCCAGAGTATGCTAAGTGGAAAGTTATTGCTGGTATAGCTCTAACTAAAGATGAAAATATGCAAGATATTCAGATCATCAGTTTGGGGACTGGTACTAAATGTATAAATGGTGAGCATATTAGCATGGTTGGAGCCAATTTGAATGATTGTCATGCAGAAATTATCTCTCGCAGGTGTTTGAAAGACTTTTTGTACACAAATCTAGAACTCTATCTTGAAGGGGAAGGAGACCAATCAATATTCATGAAGAGAGATGGTGGTGGATTTCGTTTGAAGCCCTTTATTAAATTTCATTTGTATATCAGCACTGCACCTTGTGGTGATGCTAGGATCTTTTGCCCGCACGAAGAAGGAATGATCGAAGCTGTCGATAGGCACCCAAATCGTAATTCCAGAGGTGTGTTGCGCACAAAAATTGAATCTGGGGAAGGTACTATACCAATAAAATCTGGGCAAGGTGTTCAAACGTGGGATGGAATATTACCGGGACAAGAACGCTTATTGACTATGTCTTGTTCTGATAAAATCTGTGCTTGGAATGTTCTTGGATTACAAGGAGCTTTATTGAGTCATTTTGTGGAACCAATATATCTCGATAGTGTCATATTAGGTGGTTTATTTCATCCTAACCATTTAAGCCGTGCACTGTTTGGGCGCATAGAGCCAGTACTTAAAGAATTGCCACCTAATTACAGGTTAAACAAGCCTAGGATGTGTGCTATTACCAGTCCGGAACAAAGGCACTTGGTGAAATCGCCGAATTTTAGTGTCAACTGGACAACTGGTCTTGGAAGAGCAGAAGTTGTTAATGCTATAACAGGCAAAACTGAGAATGGCCACGTATCTCGAATATCCAAAAGAGCCTTTTTCCAACGTTTCATGAATATACACGATCGACTGTCGCACGTGAATCCTTGTCGGCCGCCTCAAATTGCTGTATACTCATCGTTCAAAAGTATTGTTGACAGTTATCAATTAGCAAAAATTGCTTTGACCAAAGCTTTCTTAGAAGCTGGTTTGGGACAGTGGGTGAAAAAACCTCCTGAACAGAATGACTTTGAACTCGTATTTTAGTAAATTTTGTGTAATTTTCATTCTAAGTAATATAAAAATCAGACAATTTTAAATAAAATTTATTATAAAACCAGATCAATGCATCCAGCACAGTTATAAACTCATTGATTTTTTTTGTAAATAGTTATGTTATAACTATGTATTTATTCTTTATTATCATTGTTATGAGTTGATACATATTTGGGAAGCAGTGAATTAGCTTTTTTTTTTTCTTTTTACATTTTATTCTCATTGAATGTAAAAAAAAAATGTATGTTAATATTGGGTACATTAAAGCTTTAGTGTATACATAATAAAACATAAATAAATTTTACATCACTGTATTATCCTTTTTTATAGGTTTACTTTTTATTGTTTTGAATATTCAGTCATCATTCCTTGTCATCATTGACTGGGTATGAATTGATGCAATATGAATTACTTTTCAAAATATTTACGTAAAAGTACATATTTTATGATTCGGAAAGAAAAAAACTTATGCGGTTATCAATTTATTTTTGATTTAGTAATAATAATTTTCCAAAGAATTAAAACTAAAATTACCTTAACATTTCAAAAACTATAAAATTTTAAATTTTGTGATCTTTTCCAAAGTTGGTTAAGAAACAATCTTTTTCATATCTATGAACACACACTCATATATATATGCTAATTCTGATTTAATCACTTAAAATAACACTTCTAAAAATTAGAAAATAATATAAAGGAAGTTTTAGATAAACAGTATAAAAGGGTTGTTTTCTTATTAAAACTATAAAGGTATGCAAGTTTTATTTAATTGCTAACTAACAAGCGCATATGACTAAAGTATGAAAATGTTTATGTAATAAAAATTTTATTTGTGATTTATTTCTTATGCATTATACTATTAGTAAGTTACAACTGATTTTGTGATGAAAATTTTGATTTCAGCAGCTGTTTCAATATTTAAAGAAAAGTTATTTTATTAGAAATTTTCTTTGATTTTTTTTTACAACATTTAATAACAAATTGAAAAATATTAAAATCTGATTTATATCTGTAACATTAAAAATATTCTTTATTTCAATGTGTTTAGCTTTTTAAAATAGATAAATTTTCAAAGTAAAATCTTTTTTAAATAAATTTACTTAATGATGGATAAACTAATAAAAACTGAAAAACATTATAAAATTTCAGAATTCACAAAATTCTGTGTAAAATGAAATAAACTCTCTCTTTGAATGATGTTTTAATAATTAAAACATAAAAGTGAGCGAAAAATTCCTCAAGATGAAAAACAAGGAATTTAGTACCTACAAGCCTTGTCACGAGAATGTCGAACTTGATTAATTGCTGAATTGTAGTACAGTGAAATCTCCAGGAAGGACTTAACTACCTCTATGTAGCGGCCTCTTGGCAGGCACAGAATCTTCCCTTAAGACTTATGTTCAGGAAAATTTTTAGAAGAGACTGAGCAAACCTCTTCACCAATAGTGGCCAATATACCTATTGCATTTTTAAAATGTTATTTTCCCTTTTCCAACATGAGATATTTTTTCTTTATTGTGTTGATTTTTACCCCTAATTATGCAAAAGGCCTGGTCTCACATTATTCAATTTAACGTTTTCACAATTCATTCTACACAATCCATTTCGGTGTATCCATCGTCTGCCTGTAGTGTATAAAAGCGCATAGTAATCGCATTTGTTCCGATTTTTCAGCATTGTTCCGAAAATATGATTTTAGGTCAAAATATTGTTTTCTCGGTATTCTAGCACCTTTTCACTTATACAGATTTTCTTTCAACCTAGGGTGGGTCTACAAACAGGGCATGTGATTTTTTCCGGAAATATCGCAGATTTCCGCGAATCAAAATTTAACAATCCAATGAACTTTTGTAAAATCCCGTTAATGAGACGTTTACATACATATCATTCTTTCGCCAATTTAATTCTTTTGGTTTAGCGGATTTTCGCCATTTTAAGTATTTAGAACTGAATCAGCTGATATATCGTTTCTTAATCATGACATTTTATTATTAATCATCAATTTTTGTATTTACATGATTTTAAAGTTACATATTGCGATTCGTATCAACTAGATATAAAAATTGTATATTGTAATTCCTATTCGAGCAATTTAAAATCAAATATCGCCATTTGTAAATCCAAAATTGCATTTCGTATTCACGTGGTTGTAATATCAAACATCGATTTTTATGTTTATGCATGAATTAAAAACTACACATTGCGACTGGTATTCGCATGAATTAAGCATCATGATTCGTATTTAGGCGATTTAAAAATTCAATATCGCAATTTGTATTTTCATGTTTTTAATATCCAATATTGCAATTCATATTCATGTAATTTCAAAATCCAATATAGTGATTCTTGTAAGAAGTAAGTTTTTTCTTGAATCAGTTACTATAGAGGTGTGATATACTTATATTTTTAATTAAATTACTAATGTAGTTCAAAAAATTATGTTGAATATGAAACATGTATGGTTTATGAATTGTTATCGATTTTTTGCTCAAAAGATGTTCAGAGTTTTTCTTCTGTCACAATTTTTCCTGATTGGGCTTATCATGTTTTGTATTCTTATTTTTGTTTTTAACAAGTTGGCGGCTATGAAAGCACTACTGACCATTTTACATGTTTGATGAAATATTTGTTAGTCCACATGTGCGTATACTGAGCTAGATTCGGTGGCTAAGAATTATTGCACTCTCGCATGCAACTCTGCTGCATTTCGCAATAGATTCCCAATTTCAGGATATCGAACCCAAAAATATTGTGAAATTTTGCTGATCATGGGGACCAACTAAACATTGCCAAATTTCCCCCTCTAAAAACAAGAGAAAAATTTATTTCATCGTTGGTTAATCAATCAAATCGTTGGTGAACCATCATCTTTGTCACTGGCAAGCTAATGGCCTTCTCATGCTCTTATAGTTATAGATCAGTACCATAATTCCATGAACTTTCATGTGGGTCCCCAGAGCAGTAATGAATCACAATGCTTCATCTCCTCCAAATTTCTATCTCCCTTTTATTAATGAAGTATAATTTTTTATTAAAGAAATTGTAACTAGTGTGGGTTAATAAATTATTTTCAGTTTGATGAAATTTTTAAAGCGGAATGAGACTGGCGTCTGTTTTGATGAGATTGTAAGCTGTTTTTAGATGTAATTAGTGTGGTTTAATAAATAAATATATTTTTTTAATTGTCTATTTCCAATTGCACTAAATCAAAATTTTAAATAAGTTATTGGTGATTCTGTTAGTCTAGACCCAAACCTATTGGCAATTTCCTGACACATGCAATCTTGTTCATACACAACCACGTGATTTCAGCAATCTTGAGTGGCAGATACTAAAATAATGATCTGTGTAATTGCGCAGACATTCTCTACATCTTTGTCTGTCCATTATTATGTGAATTTATAACTTTTCCATTTATTGATGGACAAAACTGAGGCATTCTAAACAAGAAATCATTTATACTTTGAGGAATCCAAGTTTTTAATCACATCTCCAAAATAAGTCTGCTGCATTAATTACATCTCCGTTAAGTGATGAAATATGTTTTATATGCATGCGTTAAAGTGATGAAATGCGTTTTAACATATTTCAGTTTTTTCCCCCAACCTCTCAGATGCTGGGAATTCCATTGAATGTAAATTTTACATCTGGAAACAAGCTCCAGAGTTTTTTTAAACTTTACCAGTGATCTTTTGTGTCACGACTTGTTTCGAATCGATCAGATCAAGGAATTCTATGCAATTTGAAAAACTAATCAGTAAATATTTTTATTCATGCTATATTCTTTATGATAAGTATTGAATTATCTATTTTATAAAACACGGTTGAATGGATTTAATTTAAAGCGAATGTTGTCCTTTCCACATTATTACTGGTTTATCAGTAAAACTCTCTAACTAAAGTTAGATCTGAGAACCTCAAGTCCCAAGCAACCTATCGACCACTAAAATTACATTCCATCTATAAAGGAAAAAAAAATCTATTAATAGTAGATTCTTCAAGATATTGTGTCATCTCTTAAGGGTTAGGAGAGGTGGTAAAGGGTTCCTACCTATTTAATTTAAAATAAATGTTGCACAATTAAAGATAAATGCTAAACTAGTCAAAGGTGTAATAAATAATAAGAAAGAAAATTTATGCAAGCCTTTCAAATTAAAATTAATTTCATCTAATTCATTGAAGATAAATAATCATAGAAATAAATAGGTGTATAATATAACCGGCACCAAATATCCTAGAGGAGGGATGGCGAACCAATGGCACGCGTGCCATTTATGGCACGATACACACTATTTTGGGCACGCCACCAATCACAAATATTATTACACTATGAAGCATATGAAACAATTAAATTAAAATTCACAAAAACAAACAAAATAATAAACAATTATTAATAAAAAAATTAACAATTCATGCTGAAAAAACAATTAATAACCATAAAAAGCAAGCTAACAATAAATATCTAGCAACAAAAATTAACAGTCCTGCTTAAACTAACATCTTCCAACCTAATATAAGTTATTTGTCATCTAATCTGCAACAACAGAAGTCACACTGATGTTACTTTAAGTTGTTTTAAGACATGGCAAAATGTATTTTTTTTTTCAATGTAATTAAAGAGTTTTGATTTGATAGTATTTAGTATTATTATTTTTCCAATAATCACGAAGTCAAAAATATTTGACGGCACGTCTATGACCTCATTAAACAATGTTTTAGAAAAAAAATGGCACGTTGGTGTATAAAGGTTCGCCACCGCTGTCCTAGGGCTTCGTTTTGCAATGTGGTGTAGAAATAAAAATTTTGTTTTTGGTTAGGTTTAAAAATTTTGCTGCCTAAAAATTAACAAGTTACACAAAGAAAAACAAATGATGCATCGAGTCAACTAACAAACAATAAAAATTTATTTATGTTGATGAAAAACAATATAGTTAATTGCTGATATTCCTAAATTTTTTGCAGACATGTGATTGCTGGAAGAAATTATCTGAAAATTTTTTTGAAACTTTATAAATAGATAATTTCACTTTCAGATGCATAAATGTTTTCTCAATATTTGGTTTCTTTTTAATAACCATTTTTTGTATATAGAAGACAAAAAATAGATTAACATTTCCATACATCTAAGTAACATTTATATAATAAAATTTAAAGGGAAAAAATAAAAATATTTATCTGAAAAATGTTTTTCTCAGCAACTTGTACAAGAACATATATTCTATCAACACTAGCAATATTTCCGAATGTAAGAAGGAAAACATAATGTGTATTCCAATTATCATTTTCTTAAAAGAAACTATTTTCCAAAATTCTGAAACTCTCAGTAATAACTACAAAAAAAAAGATCAGAACACAAATCAAGCTTATTGTTAGACACATCAGAAAGTGGTTAATCAAATGCACGTTTCTAAATATAGGACTTAAAAAAATCAACAATTGCTGAAAAAGCCATGAATTCAGCACAAATTAAGTGAATTGTGCACAATTCAAATTTCTCGTGCTGTTGTAACATAAGGATAAAATCATGAATTCAGAAAGAATTGTGGAAAAAAAATAATCTGAAGAAACTAATCGTCCTGTCACAAAAAGAAAATTAAAGTTTTGAGTATGAAGATAAAGGGATTTTAATATCAGTGCAAATCGAGTGTGATAACTGAAATGCGCTACCTGAATTTCACGCATTGGAATAATTTTGTGATTACTCGTGCAGGATTTGAAATTTTGATGTCTCAATATCATTTCATTCGATTAATGAGAAAGAACAGCACTTTTTGGAACAAACGATCTTTTAAGTGTTTGCGATTTTGGAATTTATTCTTGCATTATCAATTTATTAAGGAATTATTTCTTTTGATTTTCGAAAGTTTATAAGAAGTTGCATTGCTCTAACAGGTCTACGTTATTGCCCGTGAACAAGACTTTAGGTGAGAAGAGAAAGGATGGTGTTATTGGTTAAAAAGAAATAAGCGTCTTGTTAACGAGATTTTGTGCAAGTTACAAAATGAAAGTTTAGATTACAGAGATGAGATTCTTCCGCGGATTTCCGCTTTCTTTCAGATTTTTTCCGCTGAAATTTCTTTTTTGCACAAGTTAAAATGTTTTATGAGGAATTTAATTTTCCGCGTAACGAAATTATTGAAGTTGTCATTCCTCCCTCTGAAGTTTCTCTAAAAATCAATTCCTTGGGATAAAACTGGTTGACCTTTATACAGGGATGAGATTTTTTCCCCTTTTGTCTCTCGAATTTCAGCCTTTTTATCAAAATCTCCGATTCTCTAGAAGTTTCGTTTTTTAAATAAATATCCCGCTTTTTTGTGAAAATTCAGTCGTTGAAGTAAAATAATTATATTTATTTACGATTTTCAAAGAAAAACAGAAAATTCGAACTACGTCCTAGCTGCTAACCTTTCCGCATTTTTACTTATATTAGCTATTTTCTCCGATTTTACGCACAGAAAATAAGATTTTCCGTATTTTTTATCCGTCGGCGGGATAGCTCGTATTTTCGTAATTCAGACGTTGCTGCTTCTTGTATTCTGGAGTGAAAGCAAACAAAAAAAGTAGAGGTGGATTTGCGGTGAAAATATTTATTTGCTCATTCAATTAATCTTGTTAATTTTTATTTATTAAGTCTAAGCAAAAAACAATACAAACAAGCCTTTTAGAAATCCCAAGTCCAGACTCTGCAAATATTTAGATTTTTATTCACGCGATTTTAATATCATACTTACCTGATTTAAAAGTTGAGCATTACAATTCTTATTTACGCTTTTTAAATATCGTACATTATGACTCGTATTTACGCGATTTAAAAATCCAATATCGTGTTTTGATCAAACATCGATTTTCGTATTTACCCGATTTAAAATTTGAACTTTGCGATTCGTACTCAGGCGATTTAAATATTGTACATTGCGATTCTTATTTACGAGATTTAAAAAACCAACATCGCGATTTGTATTTACGATCTTTTAAAACCCTATGTAGCTACGCGAGCTTAAAATCCAATGTCGTGATTCGTTTTTGCGGTTGCAATATCAAAAGTTACGCATCATGATTCGTATTTTAGCATTTTTTAAATTCGATGTAGAGTTTCATATTCACGTGATTTAAAAGCCTCATATCGGGATTTATAATAACATGGTTTACAAGTTTAAAAATCGCACATTATTGTCAAATTTTCGTATATATATTCTAGGATTTCCTTTATGTTTGCAAAGTGAATAAAAAATGAGAAGACACAATTAAAAATACAAATTTCTTTATTTACACAACTGTAAAAAAACATCATTAAAGTTTCTATTTGTAGTATAAACCAGTTTTGAAGTTTAACATTTGAAAGATGAAATATAATACACTGATAACTTCACTGTACTCTATTGAAACAGTTAAAGAAAACAAATTTTAAGTGTAAACACATTTTTGGCGATCATGATTAAATTTATTAAAAGCTGTAAAAATAATTAATTGCATGCTTATAAGCACAAATTAGTTGCTTAACAATATAAAAATACAAATCTTCAACATCACATTAAGTGGGAAAGATACATTAACTCTAATTGTAATAAATATAAATAAACAAATTCGTAAATTGTTGACATGCTCATTTAGTTTATGATAAAAGGAACTTTAACAATATTTCACGAGTTCAGGGCAGTTTTAATCTAATGATTCGAAAACTTCTTGCTACTTAAACCTCTAAAGTCCCATAATTTGGATGAACTACCAGAATAGGATCATTTTCATCTTGTTCTCCATCACTTGTGAGGCCTGATTTTGTGAGAGGAATGATAACTTGATCCTTCAAAAATAAAGAAGTAATTAGTAAACACTTGTGTTCTTATACTAATGGCCTGATTCAAAAGAAATTGAAGAAAATAATTTATAAAGAAAATGCAGTAGAGGAACAATTTTTTTACCTGTTTTCTTTTTTTTTTAATAGGTGTTAGTCTATCATTTATCTATCTTCAATTTTTTCTCCCCAGAAGCAGAGATTCTGATATCTACTCACTTTTTTTTAACAGCAATTTTTTTGAAGGCAAGGTATTTTTCCAATAAAATATAATAATATGAAATACTGAGAATTGTAATCTTTAATAATAATGAGAGATAATAATTAAGAAAAATTTTTCTTTTTTTTTTTTCCTTCTTGACTTAGCTATTATCTTTTAATTTTTTTTTTATCTTTTATAATTTTTTAAGGATAACTAATAGAGTTTTCCACTAATTATCATAATTTCTCAATAAGTGTGGATAGCAAGCTGAATTTTTTCCCTTTAAAAAATAAGGTTATATTGAAAATCTGGATTTTTGGAGTTAAGTATTCAGAATTTGTCACATTAGGTGCATTCCGGATAGTCAAGCTTTTACTTTAATTCTTGGTATCAGTAGTAAGATCATTCATTATTATTATTTCTTTTATTATTTTGGCGATTAAATACTACACTAATATTTCATACAAAACGCTGAAAGTACCAACACAACATCTAAAATACAGTGGTACCTCGAGATAAGAGTTATTTGAGATACGAGCTGTCGAGCGAGCGAAGTTTTGTTTTGAGATACGAGTGACATTTGAGATACGAGGAACGGCCAGGCAAGTCCTTCTCATCCTCGACAATGCTCCTGCTCACCCACCGAACCTCGAACATGACATCCTCGAAGAGTTCAAGTTTATAAAGGTTCTCTATCTACCACCACTCCTATCCTGCAGCCCATGGATCAGCAGGTGATTTCTAATTTTAAAAAGCTGTACACTAAGCACCTGTTCCGGCGCTGCTTTGAGGTGACAGAAAACAGAAACCTCACCCTTCGAGAGTACTGGGAGGACAACTTTAACATCGTGATATGCCTCAGAATTATTGATCAGGCCTGGCTGAGCGTTGCAACGAGGACCTTGACCTCTGCATGGAAGAAGCTGTGGCCAGAGTGAGTCTGTAGCCGAAAATTGTGCTGTGACCTGAGTCTATAGCTTCGAAGGATTCGAACCCAAAGTGCCAGTGGAGGAGGATATTGGGTCTCTGGGAAAATCCATGGACCTGGTGATGGGTGAGAGAGACGTGAACGAGCTCATCGAGGAGTACTCTCAGGAACTGACGACAGAGGAATTACAAGAGTTACCGTCGCAGCAGCATTCGGGGGTTCTGCAAGAAATTGGTTTCGAGGAAGAGCCAGAAGTGGAGGAGGTTATCTCTACAAGTGAGATAAAAGTGTTCTTGGGAATGTGGGCAAGAATTTCACAGTTCGTGCAAGGAAACACCCCGAAAAAGTTGCATCTGGTCGTGCATCGGAACTATTTCATGACACTCGCCTAACTCATTTCTGCAGCATTCTGAGAAGGAGGAAGAAACAAACCTCCTTGGACAGTTTTTTTTAATCCAGCTAAAAAAGCAAAGACCGGTGAAGAGAAAAACAGTGACTAAAATTAAGCATACAGTAGCATTTAAGATGTGTGCAACTTGCATTTAAGTGATCAAAATACAAATATGTATGCACACTTTATAAAACCAGTTTTTTTTTTTTGCTTTACATTTTCTTTTATTATGTTTTATACAATATTTGTCATTTATAAATACATTTTTCTTATTTAAAAACACGTAGCAAAAACAATTGGGGGTAGCATTTTTGGGGCTGGAACGGATTAATGGCATTTCAATTAATTTCAATGGGGAAAATTGCTTTGAGATACGAGCAAATTGACATACGAGCAAGGTTACGGAACGAATTAAATTCGTATCTCGAGGTATCACTGTATGACTAGAAGTCTGGAATTCCTGTCCCCGTGTTTTCACGCCACCATTGGATGCTACTCTAGAGACTATTACGAGGTGTCAGATCGACAGCCATCACAAGGCACCATGGACTACTATTACTAGGTAATTCCACCATTGATGAATGTCATATTTGCATACAACTCAGTCAAAGAAAATAGGATCAGTTTTAATAATTTTTGTGAAAATAACTGTTGGTGGCATTTTTATTTACAAATTAATTAAAAAAAAAAAAAACTGGCTGTTTCGAACATTAACATATTAAGTTACACCTGTAACACCTACTTTTTAATTTTTAAATTTCCTTTTTTCAAACTTCAGAAATTTACTAAAAATTGAGGCAAATGTAAATTAACATTTTACAAAAATCATTTTAACAAAAATTATTAGAACTGCTTGAATTTTTTTAACTAAGTTATATTTAGTTATAAAGTAAGTTAGTTTATAGTTGCAGACTTTCAAAGTCTGCAAATATAAACTTCCTAAATGGTTGAATTGCTTCTGTATTGGTATAATAAATTTATAAATCGACTTCTTATATATTTTTTTTTAATTCTTAAATATCCGGAAAAGTTTATACATTTCTCCCCACTCAATTAAATTTTTTATATTAAAAAATTTGATGGAAAATCAATTAACTATGCAAGGAAAAAAATAAAAACATAACAACTTAAGACTAATTGAAGTTAAATATTGCTATAGTAAACACTGCTAATACGAAAATGTTAGTGAAAAAGTTGATAAATACAAATTATGGTTTAACAATTTCAAAAAACATATAGCGTAAAATTATCCAGAGGAGAAACAGAATACATAAGTTACATTAGAAACTTACATGATGAATCAATCTGTCGATTACTTTTTCAACAAGCAGTTTCTTTTGTATCAACTCATTCTCAGTTTCAATATCATTTTCAATTTCTTTTAAATACCAGTTGACCAACTGGCTTTTCCTCATTCCTTCAAAATCAGTGTCTAAAGTAAAAAGAGGCAATTAAATACTGCACACACTTTTGCACATCACACAGGAACTAAAATAATGCATTAAAATATGTAAATTTAAATTAACCTCTTGGCTATGATTTACCCAAAGGTGCGGCAGAATGACAGGTATGATGTACCCTAATACCCCATTTCCATTCGCAATTTAAGAAAACTTAAACCTGTTAGAGGAAATACGGTATAATGTATGTGGTATAATGGTTAAATCCACAACTTTTATGATATTGCAACATCTATAAAAATAACATGTCATTCAAAGTGCTAGTTTATAACAATTTAAACAAAGAAAGCATAAGAGCAATTTTCTGTATTTTAAGAAAGAACATTGTCCTGTTACATAAGAAAAGCACTTATTATATTTATTAAGGTTGGAATGAAACCAAATGTTAGGTATGGCTTTCATGCCTGTTAAACAAAATTTAAAAAAAAAAAATTTTTTTTTTGTTTTGTTTAAATACTTATTTTTTGTCTTGGTATAGTTAGTTAAAATTTTTGTTGTTTTGTTTATCTTCTCTGATTTTGTAATTTTCACAGCTTCTTTTTAAGCTGGTACAATTTTATTAAAAATCATTGTACTTGCAGAAATGATTTATTTATATTACAGATTATAAATGATTTTTAATGATTTATTTCTCAACTAAAAAATAACAATTATAATAAATTTATATAATTAGATCTTAGTTTAGAGTAAGAACCAAAAAGTTAAACAGTAATTTTGATAAAGGAAATGCAGTACAGCTATGGATTTCTGTAAAACACTATAATTCAAAATAATATTAAAATGCAATATGGCACACACCTAATCGATTTTATACAGTACACATTTAGTCGTAGCAAAAAGTAAGGTTTACAGTAAAAGTACATATTTAATTATAAAGATAAAAAATATGAAATTGTACTTCAAATTTAATTATTGAACAAATAAATTTTGTATGTCTCTAAATTGAAGAAAAAAAAAAAAAAAAAAAAAAAAAAAAAAGGGGGNTTTTTTATTTTTTTTTTTTTTTTTTTTTTTTTAAATGTAATAAGTGTAGAAAAGCATTGAAAACATTTTTTTTAAGAATGCTAGGAAATTATCAACAAAAATAATAAATATATAAAATATACTTTTCCACATTTTTAGAAACTTTGCTTAATTTTCTGGCCAAATCTAAAACTAAGGATAAAATTACTAATAGGACTAATCAACTAAAAAAAAAAAAATAGATATTAGAGAGAAATTTTATGGAAAAATTAAATTGGTGTAACTAGATGGTCATAAGGTTTTAATAAAAGAAAAGGGGCCAAAAAAAAAAAAAANTAAAAAAAAAAAAAAAAAAAAAAAAAAAAAAAAAAAAAAACAATGTTTAAAAACAAGAACACAAAAATAATTCTAGGTTAATTAATGATTTCTTTAAACGACAAAGCAAATAAAAGAGTTCAGAAAAACATAAATTTTACCTATTAGACAAGAAAATTCAAAATAAAAAACTATAGGGATAAAAACTTCAAAAACCAATGCTCGTAAGTACCTTTGCTCTAACAGCATTCAGAAAAATTATAATTTTCAAGACAAGCACAATATAGTTTATGTAGTAAATAAATTTAGAATGTAAAGCTATACATGGCAGGGCGATCTTCAAACAAAATCAGATATAATCAATGGAGATATAAATTAAAAACTTAAATAATGCAAAATAAATTAGAGAACTATAAAGGCAAAGCTATTGTATACAACATAGTGGGCACATTTTGACTCATGGCTACTGTAGATTTTGTCTACTGACATGGGTGATGTTTTTTTTCTTCATTGCTTTGTTTCTTTGAATGTAATTCAAAACAAATTATCAAAAATTAGGTTGTCATCTACTTAAAGATTAAATTCTGTAGCTGGAAGTTACCTTGCGTGCCAACAGATCCACAAATTATTATATGCAGAGTTTTCTTTATTTTTCTATTAGGCAGAATTTTTTCAAAAATTAGAAACTGTAATTTCTATAGTAATAATTATTTCTAAGCTGGAAAAAAAGTGAGTTTGAATAACAATAGAAACATGTATTGCCCAATGTCTTTTTAAAGTATTTACATAGTTTAATAACATTATCTTTTATTTATTTCCTATGAAAAACAATATGAATTAATTGAAATGCACTAAGTACTAATGATTTTAAAGTAACAACATTACATTATAGCTTTAGAGAATCATATTTTAAAATACAAACAACATTCCTCCTGTGGATTGGAGAGTTTCACCCCTTAGCATTATACAAATAAAGATGCCTAAGTTAATAATTATGGTAAAAATTTTATTAATAAATAATTTATAGTACTCACCATCACATTTACTTTCTTCTTTTTGAAGACACGTTATTAATACATTAGAGAGAGATTTATATTCTTCAAAACTCAATGTCAGTTTTTGAGGTCTCTCTCTTTCAGATGGAGGATCTTCTGAACTTGGCACTGTAAAGTGTTTTAAGATTAGAAATAGAACACTTAAAACAAGTTCTGCAAGATTTATTCTATTCAAAATAGAGTTTACTCAGGTGGGCCCAGCCTAGACAGATTTTTTTCAGATTGGGCCCACTTGACAAAACTTACCTTTATATAAAAAAAAAAAAATTTATCTTCATACCAACCAATTTTTATAAAATGAAATAACAATAAAATTTATGAAATTTTAAAAGCTAGAGATAAGTAATGCCTATTATGGCTTCACAATGTTCATTCGTTAATGATTATTAATCCAATTTAATGAGTTCTACATGTTCATTAAAATCACAAATTATAAACTCGGAATGAGTAGAAAACAAATGTTTAAAATTTATTATCCTTTTTCATTATTTCCAAAAGCAAAGAGTATGATAAAGGTTAGCCTAATTTTTTAAAAATTTGCAAGACACAAAGAATTTATACACTGAAAAATACAAATGAATATGCCATGCGTTACAAAAAGGATAAATGCACTTCATTTCATGAATGTATACAGAGCTTCTGGAAATTCCATTAACTTTAAACTAAATTATATGTTTATTTATAATATAAAACTGCAAACGTATTTAAGTTTTACATTTCACAAAGAGTAATTTCAGTAACTTCATCATTATGCGATTTATATTTAGAATGAAAAAAAAATAACTAAAAAAGTTATTCAAAAAGCTATTTCTTTTAATAATACTTTTAGTAATAATCAAGTAATTTTTTTTCAAAATGTATTATATCTTATGTTTATATTTAGTATATAAAGAATCTGTATGTAGACTAACTTAAACTTTACAAAATCTCTCTTATCTTCAGGAGAAATTGGGTTTTTAGAAGAAAAAACCTTAGTGGGATGGGTTTTTTTCTCAAAAACACAGGTCTTTGTAAACCCTGATTCAGAAGCACACATGCACTTTTAAATTTAAATTGATGGATTTTTAAATTATTACTATAACTTACAGTTATTTTCAGGAGTTTCACCTGTTTCTTCATCAACATCCATTGCATCTGCTTCATCTTCTTGCAAATTAATATCAGGCTGTTCCACACGTATTATAGATTTATTCAAAAGGCGGAATGCTTCTTTTACATGCTTGGCATATACCTATATAAAATAAATGAAAAATTTAAAAACAAAAAAATCAGGATTTTTTTGGGTACAGTTTATATACATATACCAGACTACTATCAAGAAAGGGAAACGAATAAAAATTTTTTGTTTTGAACAAAAAAAAAGTATTTAAATTTACAACTTTTTGAACAATTTTTAATTTAAAAAAAAGAAGCTTTTGTTAAGTTTATAAACAAAGCCTGGATTTTTTCAACATGTTAAATTTCTACCATGTAGAAGCATTCCTGTGGCCTTCAGAATGACCTGCACAATATTTTTTTAATGCAATTTTTAACAGTCAATTATTGAATGTTAATTTTTTTTTCTGTAAAATTTTCCACACACCTTTGTAATTTCAAGTTACGAAATGTTACAATTTTTGTGCAGCAAAAGAAAACGTAACTTTGAGATGAACACCCGAAATGCAGACAGATAATAGAAATCTTTTTAGAGAATAATAGAGAACTTTTTAAATCAAATCATTCTAAAACCACAGTTTTAATTATTCAGCAATAATAATGCAGTAAATATGCCACACACACCATTTTCGCACAAAAATAATTTGGTTCATGATCTCTTAGTTTACTGTTTAATTAGGTGATTACTGTATTGTTAATTGGGAATAATAATTATTTAAATCAGATGAAAAAGACAAATCAATAACTTTGAAATTACTAAACTTCACCCAACAATACTTGTTACCACATTACCTGAAGAAAAAAAATTTATCGCTTTAAAAATTTGAAATATAATCAATGTTAAAAGCTCATACCTCTTCACTGCAATGCATTTTTGCCATAGCTTCAGATAGACGAACCAAACTTTCCAACTGACGAACTGTTATACGCCAAGAAGATCTGGTTACACCAGCTGCATCTCTCAAACGTAAATTCTGATAATGCTCAACTAGACATTTTTGCGCTTCTTCCGTTATCTGTTAATTATAAAAGTTTCAAGTATAGGAACATGTGAAAAAAGAAAACAATAAAACCTTTTTGCAAAGCTTAATCAAATAAAAAATATATTTAAAAAAAAAATGGAATACGAAGTTAAGGTCGCTTTTTCATTACACCAGCAAAATGCTTTCCCCTTCACTGATACGATAGTATTTATTTTGGCTCTGACAAAGAGATATTGTTTATAGAAACGGCATGTCGGATGAGCACTAACGTACCCCATGAAGTTGTGCCGATTTTTTCCCCTTGCGCATTGGCTTTTACTCTTTTTCTTATATTTTACTAAGAAATCAGTGCCAGTTAAAATTAACATATATATTTTTTTGAATCTATAATTCCAGCCTTAAAATAAATAATTTAATTACAAATGATAAAATTATTTTATTATCCAAGAAAAATGTGCTTTAAAATTTTGACAAGTTCAAAATTGTTGCAAAAATTTGTTATTGCAAAACAAAAAATAGTATTTAAATGCTTTTCTATTTATAAAGTATGACAGAAAGAGTACCAAAGGTAAAACTTTTTTATTTACCATATTCACAATTATTCTAATTTTATAAAGATAGATGGAACCTACCAGTTATTGTTTTCATTAAAAAACTATACATTGAATAGTTTGATTTAAAAATTCATAAAGAAAATAATTTTATTTTCTTTCATTTTCTTGAATTCTCCATACAAGGTTTTAAAAATAATTCTGTTTTAAATATTAAATTTAATATATTTATTGATATAATTTATTATTTGATATATTTCTTGATTAAGATACATTTTTTGATAAGATGCTATTCTAATATAAAGAGGGACAATACAGTTTTCAGTGTGAAATTTTATTTTAAACACAGCTACATTTAAAGTTTTAAACAGTTGAATATTTTAAGAAATACACTTTTGACTGTTACAAATACATACATAAGGGTGTGTGTGTGTGGAGATTAATTATTAATTTTTAGCCAATTTCACTGATATTCAAGTTTCAGTACTTTTAAATGATCTACAATATAAGCTGCACAAAAGTTTGAAAAAATTACAAAAATATGAAACAAGAGTAAATTAATACCAGTATTCTACTACTGTTTAATGGCATCTTTATGAGAATCTTACTAACGAAACAGGCTCTTTTAAAAAATACTTCTTTAAAAGCTAAACCTAAAAATTGTATACACTTAAAATAATTCATTTACCATGACATTTCATTCTTTTTATGGGAAGTTTATTTTTAGGCCCATAAAATCAATTTATACTTCTAATTCAAATTAATTCTCAGTTGTCTATAAAATATCTCAATGATATATGGAACTTAAAATCAAATTTTTTTGTAAAGCTTTGATGTTTTATTTAAAAATTTATAATGATTTAAAAAATTTTTCACAAAAAAGAGACATTAAGATGTTATATAGAAATTTATCAATAGTGCTTTTTTTAAGGGTGTACGTGTAAGTCCAATAAGATGCAAGTGTTAGCTTTAATTGCTCAGTGATATTGCCTACTACTTCGTGAAACATCACAGTTGTCAGAAGAAAGGAAGGTATAGAACCTAGATGGGCCTGTTTTTTCTTTTTCTTTTGAAATTTATGGCTTTATTACATGTCAGTAATGATTCAACATTTGTTTAAAACATACACAACTTTAAAGCAAAATATTAATACCTAATTAAGAGCGTAACAATGAAAGAACTATACGTAAAAATAAATAAATAAACAAAAAAAAAAAAAAAAAATGAAAAAANAAAAAAAAAAAAAAAAAAAAAAAAAAAAAAAAAAAAAAAAAAAAAAAAAAAAAAAAAACTATTTTAAACTGTTTAAATAAAAAAATTTCTTATTACAACATAGATATATCTGTGACGTAATTTACACTTAACACAATAAGTTACCAAACTTAAAAACAGCAAACTGGCTATAAAAAATAAATAATAATAATTAAAATAAATACAACAGACTACTAACCTTTGGCTTAAATTTACGAGCAAATGTAATATACTTAGATATTTCATCTAATGTGTAAACTCTATCAATTGATTCTTCTGATTTCTGGTGTAATTCGACGATTCTTCTGGCAATAGCATAATCAGTTACCTTAAAAAAAATAATATCAAGACCATCCAATTAATTTAACAACTAACAAAGAAATTAAATCGATTCTTAATAGAATCAAAATACTCACACTAACAAGGGTTACAACACAATTTATTATCTTTAAAACAGCAAAGTACACCAAGATTAAACAAATTAGCCTGCTTTGCTGCAAAAAACTAAACAAACATAACATTAAATTTAGGCTGTGTTTCAGCAGGAAATGAATCTTAGCTACAAGAGCCTATTGAAGAAAAGGGGGGGGGGGGAATAAAAAAACATTCAAACCTCAGTTGTCTTTTCTAGCATAAAGCCAAATGATAAATGGAAACTAATACTGTTCTAACACACAGAAGATGATTTGATGTGACAACTGATTGCTGTTTGAAAGTGGTGTTTACTCTCGGCGTTACAAGTAATAAAATTACTTATACCTCAGATTCAACATACACATTCTCACCAAATCAAAAATAAAGTTTTTTTTTATTTAAATTATCCACAAAACTACTAGAAATTTCCTTAAGCAAAATATTTGATAATTCTATTAATAGAGCAGTTAAAATTTGCTTTAAAATTTTTTTAAAAATTCAGTCTGTTACAATTAATAAATGAATACTAACCTCACTACATTCATCAACTAAAATAAAAAACAAATCAAATCTGGACATAATAGGAGCAGTCAGCGCTATGTTTTGCTTCAAGGACTTAGCACGATCATAGCGTCCTCCAATAGGATTAGCAGCAGCCAAAATTGATGTTCGCGCATTTAATGTGGCCTGAAAAAAAAAAAAAAGACAGATAAGAAAATTTACAGGTAAATATTAAAATTGTGTTATGTATAATAATTTAATTACATACCTTAACACCAGCTTTTGTTATTGAAATAGTTTGCTGTTCCATAGCTTCATGAATAGCAACTTGATCTCTTAATTCCATTTTGTCAAATTCATCAATACAGCATACACCCTAAGAAAAATTATTTATTTATTAATTTAAATTCTATTAAATTCCTCCACAGGTTTTTTAAAGCAAGCACTGTAAAATAAAAATTCAAGAAATTAAATAAAAGGAGGCATTCTTTTGGGATTGATTTTCTTTGTGAGACTTAGTTTTGTAACATTCCAACAGGAATTATTTCATTGTTTATAAACATAGCTACATTAAAAGTGCCCGCTCTCTTTCTACATAAGTTCGTAGAAACTAAGCCCGACTTCTAACGAAATGCTGAATGACCTTTTGTCTTGTTAACATTTAAATAAAAAAACACCTTAATTGTGCGAAAATGTCATAAAATAGAAAATATTTCCTGACGATTACATATACTATTTACAAATAAAGAAGATTTAACAATTCTCCCTCAATTCAGCTCAGTTATTTTACAACTTATCTTTTCAGTTACAGATAAAATAGTTCATAAATATCGATATTAAATCAGGCTCGTGTCGCGTTCCTAACACCGCCATTAGATTTGGTGAGCTCAAGTGGTGCTAAGAGGGATGGCCAATTGCCAACTTTGTAGCTCTTTGTATATTCCACATGGTTTAAGTGTATGTTCCTTCTTCATAATAACCTTATGCAGTTGTGAGATTGTGCTCAGCAAAGAAGACTTACAAAAAAATCTTTTTAAAAAATATTATTGGTGCATTTTGTTCAAAGTTTTGCCAAACAAACATTAAATTAAGCTGTTATTTACAGTGGAATGTGGTGTCTTTACCATAAACAAGGCAACAATCTATGCTTTAACTATTTCTAAATGGCACCAAAAGAGATTTCATAGTATTTATGTACCATAAAAAATTGCCTAGAATAATGCATAAGTGTTTTAAATTATTTCTGGTACTAAAATTTTAAAATTATTTCCTCGTTAAATCTGAGAATAAAATTGCCCACTAAAAGAGTATATTCTAATAAATTTATAACACTGTACAAAACAAAATTTTGCTTCTTAAATGAGACCTCGTGATAAGTCAGTACTACTGTTTTTATATCAAAAAAGAAAGAAAAAAATTATTTTTGCACCTGTATACATAAATACATTTTAAACAAGATAAATTTTTATTTTTTCCTAGCTGATTTTTAGTATCTGAAAAAATTAGATAAATTAGTTTTTCTAATTTTTTCAGAGCATTCCAATTTTTTAAATTTTCATTAACAATTGCATCCACTGAAGGTTGTAAAAACAGCAGTTTCAATTCTTTTGCAATAATATTCAAATCATGAAAAGGAACTTTAATATTACACGTTACAGATTTAGCATAACCTAATGAAAGATATTGCTATCACACTTTAATAGAAACTTCCAAGGAAAACTAAAAAATAGTTTTAGCTAAACATAACATAACATTTAGATAAACTAACATTATCGGCTAACATCAATGCTCCTGCTTCTATCACAAATTCTCCAGATTCTTCATCTTTTGCCACAGCAGCAGTTAAACCAGCTGCACTGGATGCTTTTCCACTTGTGTAAACAGCCCGAGGGGAGAATTCTGACACTTGCCTATAATAATATGAATTTTATAAGAATTTTCTTTCATTTTAAACACTTCCTCATTCAAAATATATAAATAAGAGAAATCTTTCTTAGCTATCAAATCAATGATATTTAAGACACATTACAAGTGTCTTATGATATTTAAGACACATTACTTTCATTTTAAACACTTCCTCATTCAAAATATATAAATAAGAGAAATCTTTCTTAGCTATCAAATCAATGATATTTAAGACACATTACAAGTGAAAAATTAAATAATTTATATAAATTTTAAATCACTTAAAACAGTAAGTTCAACAAATAATTACATCAGTATCAAAAAATTACTGATATTAGTATAGTACAAATCAGTACAGTTTCATTAAAGGGGGCGGTAAATAACTCGCCAAATTGCGGCAAGCGAATTCGAGATCACAAAGGCAACCCTTCCCTTCTCTTTCTTGACGCAATACTACTGTACTAGGTGGCAATATTGCTATTGAAGTAACACTGCTCGGCAACCTGACAGGCCTGAATTTCTTTTTATTTTTTGCCTTTATGGATTCCACTATTTGAGAATTGCTGAAGAACAAAAAGTCTGTGATTTAGTAGGCCTTATAAAAAGTAAACTCTTGAACTCGAAAGACCATGAGATTAAATTGAGTTTTAAGTTTTTGAGCTGATAGCCTGACAACTGATCATTTATTCAACAAAGAATTAATTTAATCTTTTTTTAACATTATTCCAGGCAACTGCAAACAAAAGCTTGAAATACTGTGTTCTTTCTGAGATTAGGTAGAGGGAAAAATTCTTTGACAATTCCTGGTTTTGGGGAAAAAATTGGTTCTCCCAGTAATGTTTTAAACCTGTGATTACGAATCGTGCAAAATATATTTCATTTTTCTAACATTACATTTACTGAAGTTTTTTCCTACATCTTTTTTACAATACCTATAACAATATAATACCTACTTCTTGCCCGAAATTTTTTCTGTAGTTCTTTTTGCATTGCATCTCAAACCAAGCTCGCTTCTCAAGAACATTGGATACTTTTGTTAGCCTAGTTTCATATGAATGATACTTTTTTTAAAAAAAAATTAAAATTCTAAAAATATGCAACATATACATCATGTGGAACTGCTGCGTGTAAATATATGAATGATTTTTGAAAATTATAATTTGATACAAATAATTTATAGTTTTCCTATATATTCAATTAAAAATTTCAGTGCTAAAAGAAACAACTGTTTGTAGTCTATTACTCCAACATAAAATTCATTCCTGATAAAATGTATAAAACAAAAGAAAAAGGTAAACAAATGATAGAAAAGCTTAGTTAATTAATCTCTGCCAAAACCTCGTTAATAGTTAATCTCAGCTGACATTTTTTCTACATCAATTATAAAACACTATTAAAACTATATCTGATATTTTTTTCTTTCTTTATTAGAACTTTATCGTAAGTTTTCTGTTGTCCATGCGTGAAAAGAATATTCATTTGCAAATTTTTAAATATATATATTAAAGCGCTAATACTCATGACTGCATATCTGCTTGATGTATCATATTTTCATTGCCAATGCGAAAAAGAAATTTCATAGGATAAGTGGAAATAAACCTACATATGCATCAGTGTTTCATATAATATAGATATAAGTAAACGAAATATCTTAGATAAGAACAGGAAAAAATTAAATTTTTTTAATATATAGTTTATTATATGAATCACATCAGAAATGAAGAGACAATGATATATCTTATTTGGAAATTAAGAACTAATATTAATGTATAATAAAATTTTGACTTCTCTCGTTTTTTTGGGGGACAAAATGTAACTTTCTGACCCTGCTGCATATTCAGCTACTCCTGCTTTGGATAGAAAAGAGCATACTCACTTAAGAAACTGGCTTTTTGCAGTGCTAGGGTCACCAACAATGCAAATATTAACATCTCCTCGAAGTGAAGTTCCTTCCGCTGTTGTTTTTGGAACACCACCAAACATCATCAAAAGTATTCCACTTTTAACTTCATCATTACCTATCAAAATTACATAATACTGAATACTCATCTTACACAGAAAGTGAGTTGACAACTTATAATCACCATATAGTAAGAATAAACATCTAAATTTAAAACAGTGAGTTTTCAAAGGAAAAACAATTCTAGCTTTTAAATTATAAACTAAATAAATACAGCTACATTAAGCTTTAAAATAAAAATTTTTTTACATTATACTAGGGACCTCTTTTTGACAGTGGGTCGCAAACATTAAAAAAAGTCAACGTTTGGGCCAACATAAGACTTGTAAAATTGTAATTTTAAAAACGTAAGATGTATATAGATCCTAATTGAAAGTAACATGCAAAATCTTAGTCATAATCATGTGTAAAATTGGTAAGAAATCACTTTTCCCTGCAAGCACTGTATTCGTGGGCAAAAATAAAATTTGAAAAATGAAAAAGTCACAGCTTGCACTAAAATAATAGGTAAATAAAATAATTATTCAGTAAAAGAATGAAAATAACACAGTAGTATAATTCTTTTTTTTTTATCCAAAAAGACCTTAAATACTTTTTTTATAAATAATTAAAATAGTTCTAGGCCCAAGCCATTATTTTTAAGGGTCATTTTTGGTCTAATGCCATTGATTGTACATCCCTGGGATATTAGAACCCATCACTTAAAAAGAAGATGAATCAACACACCATGAATTGTAGGGAAAAGACTTTTAATTAAATTTTGATAAAGATTCTTATCAAGGCTCATATCATATATCTTTTGCCACTCTTGACCAGTCAGCTCCTTTTGCAGAAGCTCGGTAGATTTCATAGGTTCAGATGCAAGCATTTCCACAGCACTAATCTATAAAAAAAATTTAAACAAATATTAATTTGATATCTTAGAGTGTTAATAAAAATGTTTTTTTAAAGTAAAAACAATAGATTATAAATTTTTGGCTTAAATTTATGAGCAAATGCAATAAGCTTTGATGTTGCACCTTCATACTTTAGCGTTTCAGTTGATGCCCAAATGCCCTGAACTTTTCATGGAAGATAGTGATTGATATATTTGGGTATTAATGATATCGTTAAAATTTTTTTTTTTATATATTAAAGATAAACACTTGCTAAAAAATTTAATAACAATTGTTTAAATAATCACGCCTTTTAATTTAGCATAAATCAAGCCTACCTTTTAATTAAGAAAGAGGAATTCAATTGTTTGTTTAATAATCATTTCGAGACAGAGAAAAACTTATCAGTTAATTTTATGGCAAATTATTCATTTCTAACCTATTTAAAAAAATGAAATCGTATAAAATTTTGGCTAACAACAGTAAGGGAAAATTGCAGATATTTCTTAAGCACTCCAAAAATCACAGCCATAGTTCAAAACAGTTATAATTAGTGTATGGACACTAGGCTCAAAATTTTCGTAACTTAAGTATTATACAGTTTGACCTAGATTAATTTATAAAAAAGTAAATATATAGCGCATGAAAAACAAAGTAAGAGAAATAAATATATAGTATCGCAAAGAGACAAAGATTGTTAATAACTCTCTCCGGAAGTTCAGTCATTATTCCACAAGATCTGAAAATGGAGTGCTAAATGATATTGCTATTTTTTTCTTTCTAGAAGATGAGTACTTTTAGGGGAAAACTAAGTTTCTTTTAAATCACAACTGCACAATTTAACACTAAAAATATTTGAAAATAAATAAATAAAAGAGTGACACTCTTTTTGCAATGCACTTATGTGTGCTACGAAAAGAAAAAATTATCTAAGAGTGTAAATACCTTTAACTCAGTTGGTATAACAGTAGCTGCCAAAAATGCAGTTTTATAAGACAATTCTCGAACACCCAATGCTTTCAAACCACGGACACCTTCAGTTTCAAACCCTTCTCTGCCTTTATGGCGTGCACTGGATTCTGTTCTTACACCTATAAAAAATATATATCTTTAGGTTAAGGATATAACATGAATTTAATGTATGTGTCATAATTTATACCTAGGCATATCTGGGAACAATTACAATAACTGTAAGAGAATATGAAAGCAAATTATTGCAGCAATGTTGCTATACGTGAAGTTCAAATGTTTAACTGAAAGCAATGTAAAATACTTCGAGAATTTAAAAATTTCCTAACTTTAAGGATTTTAACATAGATCCGGAATAGAGCAGTAAAGTAAATATATGAGTATATATAATAATCTAAATTTTTTAAAGAACTAATATATATCTATACAGACCTGGCATAGAAAGCTGGCTAACATCAGGAACTACAATTAAAGTTCCAATAAAATCAACCCTGTCACCAGGTTGGGCCATTTCAACAGCCTCTGCTCTAAGAATGATCTCCACGCTGCAAGTAAATTTTAAGTGTGAATATTGAATAAATAATAAACTTAAGAAATAAAATTTTACTCTAGGAATAAAAAGCTACCATTTCTTTATCAGATAACTGTCATTACGTTTTATATTGCTAGAACAGCGCACATGCTTTTTTTTTTTTAACAAATAGATTCTGTTAAATCATAGTTACTAATAAAGTAAAAAAATAATCCAATGTAATACACAATATAGACATTTTAAAATATGTAAATCAAATAAAAATATTTTACAAATCAAATGAAAATCAAAATGAGATATTATCTAAATTTAATTTAGACTATCAATTGTGTCATCTCAATTATGGACGTATTAATCTGTTACTAGTATAGTACATATTAATTTGTTATTAGTATAGTACAGACTGATTGATTTGTTAAAATTAGAATAAGTAACCCTTATACTATACTTGAAACAAATATGACTTAGCCTTATTTCAACAAATGAGTTACCGTAAACCGGGGCGAGTCTACCCATTTTTTAAGTTTGTCAACTTTCAAGTGCTCAAACTTTTGTAAATATTAAAGAAAAAAGGCTTTTAATAGGTGTTTCGGAATCGCTATTTATCACTCTTTAAAGCTGTGAAATCGATTTTAGAAAGTATAAACAGTTACGCTGGTACCGTATATTTTTATAGAACTGCTGACGAATCTCTCGTATGGGGCGAGTCTACCCATTCTTGTAAATAATCAAATTTTACTATTAAATTGTTATTTTAGTTACTATATAGGACAGAGGTCGCCACAGTGGTCTATATAGACCCCCAGGGGTCTATTTAACAAAAGCGGGGGTCGATCTGAGCCAGGGGGTCGATCCGAATCGGAAGGGTCTGAAAAAAAAAACAGTTCTCAATACGCAAATCACACATACCTAATTAAGTATGTAAAATTTGTGATTTTTTTTTATAATTGACTCAATATCAGCTTCTTCATAAAACATAAATTATTAAACGTATATTTATTGGGGTGAAACAAGTATTTACGTACCCCCCGCGCAGTGGCACGAACTCAGCGCAGTTTATAAGTCATATGCATATGCGCTTGTCTAAATGTCACGAGTGACGAGCATTGACGTTACAAATGCAAATATATTATACGCAGTTTCAGCTATCTTTGCAAACTGTGGTGAATATTTGCAGTGTCATTATTAAAACTTTTATAGTTTTGGATAATTAGTTATTGTTTCGATAAAACCATTCGTTTAGTTNAATGGCTAGGGGAGTTCTTTACACAGACAAACTATACTTGATCTTGCCTGGCCTATTCCCCGTTCCTGAAACTATGGATGGAAAATAGCACTGGAGAACAAATTTTTTGTTTGTATTAATATAAATACTTGATCTTGCTAAAATCAGGTATAGGGTTTTCAAATCTGAAATTAGTTTTGAAAGCTATAGAGTAAAAACTATAGATGTTTTTTAAAATAGCATTTTTAGTTTACGCTTTGTCAAAATATATAAATTTAAAAACGTTATATATAACAGGGGGATTGCGTAAATGTTGCAACAAACTTAAAGGGAGTTAGATGATATCATCAAAATTCAAATTCTATAGAAATCCATGCTTGGAATTCTCGTCGTACGTGGATAGGGGTGTTTTGCCCTTTAGAACCTGTTCAGAGACATGCGGTTCCTTGAAGGAAAGTGTTTCTAACAACGTACGACGACATTTCACGGTTACGGTTACTATGCGATTACAATTCTGATGACGTGTTCTAACTCCCCTAGAAGGCTATGCCTTAACTATTAACTCCCGGGTATGCCCTAACAACTAGTCAACCGTTATAACTGAATAGATTAATTATTTTATTTTTTGACACGGAATTTCAATAAAAATAATAAAATGCTGCGTAGAAAGTTTCCAAATAATTTACTTCCAAAAGGATCCACAAGATATTTCTCTCTCAGTTTCAGGGATTTCGGAATATCTTGTTTTTTCACAGAAAGGATTCCAAGATTTGGAAAACTAATGGAAATAAAAAAATAATTATATAACTACAATGTTCATCTAAGCAATACATGGTAGATACGTAATATAAAAATTAAAAAATAGGTAAAATAAACATATTTTATATTTACATTTATATTAAACCTATAAATTTTCTTATTAATGATAAATTTATCAATGCAGAATTAAAATAATATACTCAAATTCATTTAAAATGACTTAATTTTAATATAAACAAAGTTTTAATTATATTATTATGCTTTATTAAAACTAAATACGAATGGGTAGACTCGCCTCACGAATTCTGGCTTTTTGTTTACAACAGCAAAACTTACATTCTTTTTGTTTTTTTTTTCATATAAAATTAATGTGATCTTAGTCTTAGATAAGTTTATCACTTAACCAAAGTGAAAATAGTAATAATAATAATATACTTACGGAGCACCAACTAAAAGTTTGCTGATTTTCAATACAAATCTCTCAATAGACGTTTGAACAGGTCGGTTAAAAAGACACCAAATAAATAAAAACGGATCAAACTACTACAGCACCATCTTCCTTAGAATCTGAACTAAGTCCTACGTCGGTAAAATTTTTTTTTATTTGCAATTTAAAATAGTGAAAATTAAATAAAACTAAAATGGGTAGACTCGCCCCGGTTTACGGTATTCCACTAGTCTTTGAAACTCTGAGTCCTCCGTCCTTTTTTTTTATTACTAAAAGTGGGTAATAGTAATCTGGTAGTAGTAGTAGTAACCTATTTAAAAACGTGAAATTTTTTTAAATCCCCAGAACCAGCTTTGGTGTATTTAATGAGCTATAGCTTGTAAGTGAAATCGCTGCAAATTAATATTAGTCTAGTAGAAAGGCAATATTAAAAGGTGCATATTAACAATGGGCAATATTATTACCCAGAACCACTAGAAAGAACTCAGTAAGTTCAAAACTGTTGCAGTAAAAAAAAAGAGTTAAAAAATTTTAACTTTATAATATAATAATGTGTCAACATTTAAGTGAAATAAAAGTTTATTTGAAATATTGATTGGAAAAATAAGAATCTGCCTGGTGAAATTTAAGAAAACCGGACGTTTGAATTGGCACAATTAAAGCAGACAAAACTATTAATGCTTTCCCAAGTTTCTGAAAATTATTAATCAAATATTATTTCTTACAAAATTTGTTGTTGTTGTAGTTCATTTATGTCGCACTAGAGCTGCACAATGGGCTATTGGTGACGGTCCGGGAAACATCCCTGAGGATGATCCGAAGACATGCCATCACAATTTTGATCCTTTGCAGAGGGGATGACACCCCTGCTTTGGTAGCCCGACAAACTGCACGCGAAGTCGAGCACTTTACGGTAGAACAGTTTACCGAGAACCAATACCGCATACCCTCGGTCCCTACACAAGCTGATCCAAGTGGTCACCCACCCGCAGCCAGTGATGCTTGACTTCGGTGGTCTACTGGAACCGTGTCTTAACGATCAGTCCACTGCGGGACCTTACAAAATTTAAAAATACTGTTATATCTTTTTTTTTTCTTAAAGAACTACTTTATATATTTAAAAACAAAATTTAATAGATGAAGAATTTTGAACTAATATAGAAACTATTAATGGAGAATCTGGAGTTAAGCAAGTGTTTATTATCTTTACGTCGATGAAATTCAAAGCCCGCTTCACTGGCTCTGTGTTATAAGTCATATAATAATAATAAAAAATTCTTCTGCATTAAAAGAAAAATAATAAAAAACAAGTAAATAAATAAAAAAAACACATTTATCTACCTTCTAGGAATACTGCCTCTCGGAAGCTCAGCTTGAGTTTCTTGAATTCGTACTCTCTGAAAATCTACAAATCTAGATTTACTGACGTCCAATTGAAAACGTGACCTGTTATTGCAAGCAACATTTCTACAAATAGTAGGCTGTAAGAGGTATTAAATATTAATATAAAATTTAGAATAAAGAAATTAACAAAGGGCTATAAATATCATTATACATACCAACGTATATCTAAATTGCTGCTCAACATCTTTAATGACTGTCTGACAATCCAAGCAAGTAAAAGTTCCACTGACCAATTCTGGATGAACAGGATGTGTTCGAACAACTTGACCACTAATGCGTAACAATGTTCCAATTTTAGAAGCTGTGAGTTCACGAATTCTAAATAGAGAAGGAAATTTTTTAACAAGACCATATAGCATAATATGACTTAACAAATGATTTTGTTTGTATGGTCGAACTTTGATTGATCATTTCAGAATTTTTCAACAAGTATCGCCTTATTTTAACAGTCCTGTCACAAATGCTATTCTTCTATAAGGTTACAAATACCGGTTTAGATTAATATTAAAACTAGCAGACTCTTGAGCCTATCATTCTAAAATCTCATTTATTATTATTTTTTTCAAAATTATCAGATACCGGACTTTTCCCTTCATATTTTATTTTTGAAGCTACTACCAGCTACTGATGAAAAAGAAAGTGAGAATATGTTATAATTCTGTGAAAAAGCATCTAACATCACGATTGAAAGATGTTTGCTGAAAATGTTGAATGAAACTTGTTGATCGAAGTTAAGAAATTTTTTTTTTTAGAATTGCAATTAAAGACCAGTGGAAGGAGCCACAATTAGTACCAACATTTGCAGCGAGTCCTCAAAACCTCAAAAAAAAAAGAAGCTTTCTTAATTTGAACAGATCTACTACAGTAGGGAATCGATTATCCAGAACGATCGGGAACATCGCTATTCTGGATAACTGATTTTTCCGGATTTCTGAATCGCTACAAAAAGCCGTTTTTTTTTTGTTAAACCCAACTAAAAAAAAATATTTGGAAATAATCTTAAAAAGAAAAAAAATTGATGAAGTAATACACTAATGATTATTTCCAAAATGATGTTAAGGTAAACATCTTTCAGAAAAGAAAGAAAAAGCCTAAAATCTTATGCGGAGAATTTTTTTTTTTTTTTTTTTTTAANTTTTTAAAATGATTCCGGTTTTTTGGTTTTCTGATTTCCGGATAACTGGTTCTGTACTGTACTTCATTTCTTTTCAAGCCATTATTAATTTTTGTTAAAATTTAAATTTCTCATTTTCCTGTATCTATCATTCATAATGAATGATTCCATGAGGAATGATTGATCGAGGTTCTGCTGTATTAGTAATCAAAGAAAAACATAAAAAAGTATAATTACTTGTGTCTGGTAGGGATATCACAAAATCCGATGTACAACTCTTTATCATTATCTTCAAAAGCAGTTTTTTCATGCATGAAAACTTTAGTAGCACGGCATAAATAAGGATATACGCTAACGAAGAAAAAAAAATATTAATAAATGTATAGATACAAAAGTTCCTAATGTTACAACCATCAAGAAATCACAAGGTCAAGGAAAGCAGTATTTCCTCAAAATCTGTCAGTACAATGTTTTAAATTTATGTTGCTAAAAAGAGGAGCTTGAATTATTAAAACTTGGTGAATTTACTAACTTAATTTACTTACCAGTTTTATAACATTATCTTGACTAATGTGAATTTATTGTTTAATTCAATATTTGATATTCTTTCACGACAAATAATAAAGAAAACTTTAAATTACTAAGTTTCTAATAAATAAAAAAAAGTTGAAGAGTAAAACATCACTGAATCAACAGTAGATTGAAAAGTTTTCAGATTTTGTTGGGAGTGGAAGAGCTAAAGTTTAAAATACTATAGATTACATTTTTGATAATTGTTTCAGGCCAATTATTTATTGTTTTACAAGAATTAGGTTCAGCTGCTTTTATCTTTTTTTTGCATCCAGTAAAAGCATTTCTTTTTTGAGTCTTTCTACTTTTAGTTTTTCTAACTGCACCAAAATTTTATTTGCATAAGCTCTCTGTTCGCATTGTGGTAGTCATATTTCCAACAAATCTTATACCTTTTTTTTTAAATATCTCTTTTAATTTAGTATTATTGTAGACACTGCCTGCAAATCCTTCTATTTCCTCCAATACTCGTGTTAAAGTAAAATCCAGCATTCTTTTAGTTTCATCCACTGAACTATCCACCAAATACGATTTGAAGCACTCCTCAGGCTTCTGTTACACATTTTATCACTATCGATTTTAGATCCGTGGATGATCAAGATGATGCCTAGTACAGCAAAACCATAGTTTAATATGAAACAGATTATTTCACAAGAATATTAAAAAGCTTCCTTAAAGCTGCAACTCCTGCGCGACAATAGCAATTAAATTAATTGCTGTCGCACGAATTTCCATTTGCATTTAAGTCTCCTTCACAGGTTACATATATATATAAATAGCAAAATCATGGACATGAACCCCCCTAATTCACAGTAATATGTTGGGTAAAGGCAGAAAAAGTCTATAACTAAACATTTAAAAAGTTTAATAAAAAAAGTACAGCAATTACTAAGCATCAAAAACTGAGAGTTGTTTATAGGCAGGATTTCCGGAAGTAGAAACCATAGTATAAAACTGAATTTAAATTATATATAAAAACCATTAATGTTAAAGTTCACGGCCAAATAAATATTCCTTTATCGTCGCTCTGTTGGTATGCTGCAGATATTGAGACGTTCGTCTATTAGAGTATTTTTTTTTAGGAAAATGTTTCCTTGTACAGAAACTGAATCAAATAGAAATCCACATTATTATGCTTCTTAATCATTCTGACGTGAAACCTCCTTGTTTTATAGTACAATTTATACAACGAAATTAAAATTTTTTGGATATTTTTGTCAAAACTTCAAAATTTTAACAATAGAAACCACATTCATCATGAGTGCTGAAATAAAATTTCAGTGGTAGATGGATTATGGGTTAGATTCCTTTTTCTAACCGTGAGAAGTTTTTCTCTCCATATAATATATAAATGTGGGTTACTTCCATCAAAAAGTCCTCGACAAAGACAAATCTCTGAATACATGATCCAGGAGTTCCCTTGTCTTCTGGATTGGGCTCAAAATTACAAGGATATGAAGTCGTACATTGGTAGTCGTAAGCTGAAAATTATGTTGGCTGTTCAAGGAGGATTATTAAATAAAATAATCACAACAGGTCATAATGCACAAATAATCCCACAGAAACAAAACAAAAGAAAGTAATTCTAGATTTATTAGCCTTAGTCAGATTTTAAGACAGTTTACAATACTTTTTGAAAGGATCTTGATGTGTTATGTCAAAAACCAGTTCTTGAGATCAAAACTCTAACCTTGGATAAAAATATCATAATCATATTTATAACTCATTGACATTATTGCTCTCCTGGCAAGCAAAATTGAATAAAAAGTTTTATTAAGAAAAGATTATTTTAAAACTTACCGGTGATATTCTGTTTGAATTGTGGTAGCTAGATCTTGATTATATCTGTTTACATCTTCAAAACTCACATGCAAAGTATTCCTTTCTGGCCGAGAAAGATCCTTTATATATTCCAAATATTTTGGCAAACCTTCATCATTCATATACCTGAAATTTGAAGAAAATAAAATATCTATAAGGGAAAGAAACTGATAACTTTCTATAACATAAAAATTAAATATGTAATAATTTATATATTCAGATTCAGAATACCTTCAAAAAATAGAAAAAATTTAAAAACTTTGTTACCATTTATAGGAAAAGTTTAGACCTTACACAAAAAGCACTGCATTTTAGGGAACATAATTATTAGCAGATAAAATGAATTAAAAAACTTCGCATTTATTAAGAATTTATTTTGATATAATTTCGTTTCACAATATAAATTTTTCTGTATGAAGATGCATAAAATTTTCTTTAATTTTCATAATTATCAAGGGAAAACTTGAAAGACTTATATAAAATATCATAACTAATACAAGTAGTATTATAAAAAAGGGCAAAACATACTCAGATAAAAAATCCAAGAATAATTTTTGAACTTGTTCCCCAACAGCATCTTTTTTCCGCTGAAAATTAGTTTGTGTATTCGTAACGTCCATTTTTCACAGCAAAATAGTTTGGCTAGATTTATTTTTAATTTGACAGAAAACTTATCAAAACAAAGCTACGCGATAATAATAAATACACTTCGCGCTTTCGGTTCCCGCGTTTTAAGAAAGATGACGATTAAATATCAATATTCTCTAACCACAATCTAAAACATTTTAAATAAAAATAAGTTCCAAAATTATTAATAGACTTCAGTTTAAGGACCAAACATAATATTCTTATTTTTTTCCGAAAATTATAAGTGTAAAAAGAATTTTTATCAGTTTAAGTTTTAACTACGGAAAAAATGATTCTCAAAATGGCAACGAACCCACCTTTCTTGTTGAACAAGTGAGCATCGTTTCTTTTAAAACGCTTTCGCAAGACCGTGTCTTGAAAAAGTCAAACAGGCGACATGGAAAAGAGAATTGAATTAGAAAAGCGTGGTCGTTCTCCGGCACAGGCAAGTGAAAAAAAATTTTTTGGCAAACTGTTGCACTTATTTTTTTGCAAAAAAATCTTTTTTTTATGTTCCTTGATTGCCAGTCGAAAGTTAATTTAGTTTCCGAAATAAATCCGATACATTTTTCTTATGGTAAATCAATGGCGAAGTCCTATGCTCCTTTACTCACGTATGCTAAAAAAAGTTGTTCCATACATGTTTCGGCGATTCAACTTTTCATTTGATTAAACTTGTGTCTTGTGTTATTCTTGAAATTAATAATAATATTTTTAACATACATTTATCTGAAGTTAATAAATTTTACTTTGAGTTAAATCGTATTGGTAGTTTTTCATATGTGTCGTTAACTTCATTATTTGTTTTGCACCTCAGTTGGGGTCTGACTTGTTATCTCTTAAAAGATTTTAAAATTTAAGATTAGTTAAGCTATTATGAAGTAACTTAAAGGTTCGTAAGATTTTTATTGATTAAGTCATTCTAATTAATTAATTTTTGTTTTTACTTTTTATTGGTAATAAATAATGTTTTCCTTAATTTTTTTTATTTTTATGGCGGGAGGAGCAACTTGAAAAGTTGGAATATATCTTCTATATAATATGGATTTGATTCGTTTTATATCATTTAAAAGTATCTTAATTTTGTTTTCGTGATCAATTAAATTAAAATTAAAATTAAGTTCTTATATTTTACACTTCAATTATGCGTGTATTATTTAAATTGGCTATTTTTAGGATTCCATCTTCCACATAAGTACATTTTCAACTTTTTAAAAATTTTGCTCTAAGTGACTAAATTCATGATCATAAAAATATTTAAGTATATTTATTATTATAGTGATTTAGATGTTAATAGATATTTATATTGCTCATTTAAAAAAAAAAAAAATAAATAGTGAATTCTAATCTTGGACCTTCATGCATTCAAATTTTAATTATATGACTTTTTATTACTGTGAATCAAATTTGATTTATGGGCTCATTCTTATCAAATACACAAACTTAAGAGATAAAGAGTGAAACAGTTTCAATGCTTATATAACACTTAAGTGGCAAAAATATATGTTACAAATTTATGTTTCTATTCTAAAACTATATGAAATTGTGATCATCATTGAAAGGATAAGGTAGTAATTTGAGTAATTATGCTGGTGTAAACTTGAATAGATTTTAAAAAGTCATTTTCAAACCTTTATTATTTGGGAAATATTTGACCAATGAGATAAAATTTGTAATTAGTATAAATATGAATTCACCATATGTCGTAGTAAGTGGTCACAATTTTATTTGCAGGTTGAATACCAAATTCCTTGATCGTTAAAATCATTATCATTAAATCGCCACAATTGAAATTCTTAATTTTTTTTTTGTACTGATGGAGAACAAGTTTAATAGAAAATTAATCAAAAGGGTTTGCATTGACTGATCATCGAATGAAGGAATAAAATTCGTTAATGCCTGGTGTAATAGACAATTTTGTGCTATGTGGCTTAGCCGCATGGAACTACGCAGTTGATTAATTTTTGTGTGTTTGTTTTTAATAGTACAGTAGAGCTCCGATTATCTGAACCCCCCGTGGCAGAAACACAGCGACATTGTCGCAGAAAGCGACTGAGTTCTTGCAGAAAGATTTTTTTTATTTGGGAAATAAAATTTTTCGGTTTGCTACAAACAAAAGTTCTCAAAATAAATTCTGCAGAAACAGAAGTTGTTTTACCAACAAAAAAAATCATTTTCTTCAGAAACAAAAAAATTCTGCAGAAGCAATAATGGTTCTGCAAACTTTTTTTCTTACAGAATTGTTTTAAATATTTTTTTTTCTAGCGTACCGCGGAAGGAGAAAGCGCTCGTAATTCTCCGTTAATCTCCAACACAAACTGTTACTGGATAAAAAGGGGAGAATTTTTTTCCCCTTTATTAAGCTATTTTTGGAAATTTGCCAACTTCGGCCTCTATCGCTGGCGCAGTAATTTGCTTTGTGTTTTTTTATGAGAACAGAGCATTTTATATTTTTTGCACTTATGTGGAAAATTTCATGCGTAAAAAGATTCTTTTTTTAAAAAAATCATGTCTAGTGAAAAGGTTATTTGTTGCAATTGTGAAGCCACAATAGTTAAAAAAATTTGAAAACTGATTTATCAAAGGCGGCATTCCGAAAAAGAAATAAGATTGAAGTCGACAACATCTAAAAATGCCTTTATGCTTTGAATTAAATCGTCGATAGAAAATAAAAAAAAAAAAAAAAAACGCAATCTAACGATAAATGAAATAAAGCCTGAAAGATATCTCACTATCTACGATTTTTTAGCATGCGAATGAAAACCAGATTGGTGAAAAATATTTACTGGTCACTTTCAAACAGGTTTCCATACGCATGCGAAAAAAATCGCATCCAATGAATATGGCTCTAATACCGATGTTTCAGTACTGATAAAGACTATTTCGTTTCGAGATGTTGAATAGACTTGAGCATATTGAGTCGGAAACTGCTTCTGCATACTTCGTGTGGAATCAGTGCTATATATTTACACAATACAGTGCGAAATCACAAGCGCTGTGTATTTTTTTCGTTCTGAACTTAATCTGATCACGAAAAAAGTTTTATTTACCTCCTTTTTTTAAAAAAAAAATCTTTCAATAAGTCAGTACAATATTAATCGAATCTAATTAATCTATAATTAATTAGATAAAATTAATTAGATGTAGAAAAAATTGAAACAAACATTGCTTTAATTTTTTTGCTTTTAGAATTCGGTTATAGTCAATTCTATTTTATTATTTTGATTACTCAACTTCAATATTAATTTTTTCACCTGATTTGTTTCTGTACCTGATATAACTACTATAATGAAACATTAAATCATACTGTTTTAAACTGCTTTAATAATTTAATTTTGATACTGTTTTAAACTGATACTTCAAATTCAGTTATCTTGTTTTATAAATTTAATCTTTTTGTCCATTCTTAGCTATTTCTATAAGTTCTATCTTATTACAGGTTCTGGGTAATCTTTATTTATGCTCTAGTAAGCATTTTTGTCTGCAGATCTATACATTTATAACTTTTCGTTATTATCGAAGATTATGCAAATTTATACTTAAACAATTTAAACTTATTAAGAAATGTAAACTTATATTATGAAATTAAAAAAAAAAATCTACACAGTTTTATTCTATGCATGTAGACTTATTTTATAAACACGAATTTCATCTATTATTATAAATTCATTACACATACATTTATAACGATAAAAATATCTTGCAGAAAGATATTGGTTCTAATTAGGTTTGTCGCAGAAAGTCAGAAAAAATTCTGCCACAGGGATCTGAACTATGTCTGAATTCGTTATTTTTTTTTTTAAAGTTTAGAATACTTTTTAACCTATAGACAATTTTTCTAAATTAAGAAGAATAAATAATATCCCCTATATCTGAAGATCATATTTAATTTACAACCTTTTTAGCAGTTTTCTTATAGTAGCCATACATACATGTATTGTGATACAGTTAAACCTACATACCCCTTTAGCTCTTTACAACTGAAAATTATCTTCCAAGAATGCGAGCTTCATTTTGATAGTCTACAATGGTTGGAATGTAGAAGGAGTTTAAGAATAGATAAGTGCTGAAGTTCAATAATTGGGGAATGGGTAGTTGTTACTTATGGTTAATGATTAGTGAATACAGTACTTGGAATCTTAACAGGAAAACAAACGAAACTGAAGTTTCTGAACCAGTGGATCTTTCCGATGAAAATTTTGTATGAAAAATTGCAACTCCACAGAGGAAGAAATAGGTAATCAGTTTCAAGATAGTGGACCTTCTCATATAGAAGCATGCAATTCATTAGATTTTGCAATGAATTGGCTAGAACGTAAAAATGATGTTGATCTAGTTCAATTGATTTATTTAAAGAGAATAACGGGGGAAAACGCATTTTCTTTAAAACAAATTTCTGCTGGATTTCTTTTGCTATGGAAAATAATGAAAAATGTGGTAAATCAGTAATTGACAAAAAAAAAATTATAAAAAAGGAAAATATGATAAAAATAATTCAAAATGAAAAAAAGTTTTAGAAGAAATTATTTAAAAATTGAAGAAAAAAAACATTTAAACACGGGAGAGCTATTTTAGATGATACTGCCAGTCGTAAGCCTACAAAAGGTGCGAAGGGAAGTTGGTGCTTAAATAATAATCATTTACACTTGATTTTAAACTTTCCAATTATCCGAACTATGTTCGGTCCCGAGCAGTTCGGATAATCGGCTTGATTTAATAGTATTTGACTGCATCCAAATCCGGTTAGACAAGTTTCTTCCACAGTCCCAGAAAGAAAATGGGTTTCTCCTTGCACGAGTGAATAAAATAGAAAAAAAAATTTTTTAAAAATGAAATATCAAATGTTAGAATAGTTTCTTAAACCGTTATGCAGTTTGTAATTTATGTCTAGTATTTTCTATCGATTCCTTTTTTTTTTCTGTCTTCTCATTTACTACATCATCTTTAAGTAAGTAAGTAATGAATCTTGAAAAACTTTAAATTTTTAGTGCTAACTAACTTTAATTCTTTTTTTTTTCTTCCTCATTCTACATTTCTAACATTTAACTCTTTGCTTGTTTTGACCATTGTTAAAAACTCAAATTTTGGCATGAAAAAAGTATTATATTACTATAAAATATATGTAAAATTGCAATTTATCCAGTCCATTAATTTTTTTTAGTCATTGAAAATAAAAATGCAAAAACAATAATCTTATAAAGAAACTGTTCTACAATCATTTTATTCAATATATAAAATCAATTTTCCTTTATTTCCATAAACCGCTCTTGTACTTCACTTTTCAGTTTTGTATGAGTGGGCCCAAAATTCAGAACTATTCTTTTGACTGATTTTAAGTTGCATAGAATCGGGCAGGGAGGGCGAACCAATGGCACGCGTGCCATTTATGGCACGCGACACTATATTTTGGGCTCGCCACCGATCACAATTGTTATTGCACTATGAATTGTTATTACACGGATGTTATTACGCTATGGAGCATATGTAACAATTAAATTAAAATTCACAAAAAACAAACAAAATAATAAACAATCATTAATGAAAAAATTAACAGTTAATGCTAAAAAAACAATAACCATAAAAAACAAGCTAACTATAAATAACAAGCAAAAAAGAAATCAACAGTCCTGCTTAAACTAATATCTTACAACCCAATATAAGTTAATTGTCATCTAATCTGCAACAACGTAAGTCACACTGATGTTGCTTTAAGTTGAATTACGCCTTTAACTGAGACATTGCAAAATGTATTTTTTTTCAATGTAAATAATGAGTTTTGAGTTGATAGTATTTAGTATTACTATTTTCCCAATAATCATGAAGTCAAAATTATTTGACGGCACGTCTGTGACTTCCTTAAACAATTTTTTGGAAAAAATGGCACGTTGGTGTATTAAGATTCGCCACCCCTGGAATAGGGTGTAGACATATGAGTCAAGATTTATAGAAAATATTCATGTACAGTGTGCCAAAAGAAAAAGTGCTCTAAATAACTTTTGATCTAATGATCAGATCTTCAGATTCTAGAACTTAATTTAAATGGTTCGAGAGTGTGGCCACAAGTTAGTGCAATTAGGGGGTGCTACCTAATTAGTGCAGACATTAATTTAAATTACGAAATCAGACAAAAAAAACAACAACATACTTTTACTTAATAAATGCATCTTTTTTTAAAGGAATCAGGTTTTTAACCCGCAAAATATAGGAGGTAGCTGCAATCTGAAAGATTTGATCCCAAAAGTTTGGACAGAGTACTCCAAAGTTTGGACCCCTTAAAATTAATTTTACTTTTTGCTTATTTCACTATGTTTCGAAAACTTTTTAAGTGAATTGAAAAAGTTTTGGCCCACAATTATAAAATTTGTCTCTCCAAAGATAATACAAAAAGTAACTTTTAGAAAATGTTTAGGTATTTTGTTTAATAATGGTCTTAAGAAAATTTGAATTGTTAGGTATACAAATTTATTCATCATTTTAAAGAATATAACTTAACATGGCAAAATTCAAAATTTGAGAAAAATCAGTAAAATAGTTCCCGAGGAATCTAATTCTTAATATCTTGCATACATTTTTTAATTTCAAACTTATGTGTAGCACGTAAGCTGAATTGTAAGTTTTGCATCTATGTACTGACAGTAAAGTTGTTCATCAACTACAATTGTTTTCTTCTTTTTTTTTTTTTTTNTTTTTTTTTTTTTTTTTTTTTTTTTTTTTTTTTTTTTTTTTTTTTTTTTTTTTTTTTTGAAGTGATTTTATAATTTTCAGATAATTAATTTTAAGCATATTTTGTTCTTTCTTTTTTTTCCATCATTTATTCATTTGATTTCAGCATTTTAATCTGTTTATTATTATTTTAGCTTCGTATCACTTATTAAATACTAATCTCGCATGATGTATCAAAACTCTATTCGTAGCCCAGAAAATGTCACTAGTAAAATCTGTTATTTTATTTACCCAATGTTGGCAGGTATGCTATTGAACCACTCAATTTTGATGGTGTGAACCCTAGTCATAAATCACTGGCTCACTAACTATTTGTGTTTTTATTTTCTATAATTAAGGAGATTAAATGATTGGATAAATTGTAATTTTACATTATAATTATTTAATATTTATAATAAATTGATCTTCTGTACCGAAATTTGGGGGATTTGATAGTAATGTCAAATGATGAAAGAATATAATTGATTGATCATTTGTAATTTTATATATATTTTTATTTATAATTGCTGCATATTTATAATAGCTAACAATTATTTTTTATTCTGAAACTATTTCAATAAGTGGGCAGTTTAAACCAGATAAAACTGTCAATTGTCAGAAATTGGCAACCTGAGCTGGCATCTTTAGTGGGACTACCAAAAGTATAGTTCTATGTGTTTAAATTATTCATGTAAAAAAGTATGAAGTTTTTTGATAACAAGTTGCCTGTTTTTGTTTCAGATTAAAGAATTGAATCTTGATAATTGTCGGAGTACTCAAATAGTTGGTTTAACAGATGAATTTGTTAATTTGGAAATTTTAAGCCTCATCAATGTTGGTCTTGTTAGTCTTAAAGGTTTTCCAAAGTTGCCAAATTTAAAAAAAGTATGTATAAGCAGCCAAAGCTTCCTTTTTTTCTATTTTTGAAAAAAAATTTTGCTGAATTTGTATAATGTTCTTTAATAAATGTTCAAAGTTTTGTTTAATGCAAATTTAAGATGTTATCCAACATTTCTCAAAGATTGCATTTCATTTCAATGTAACAGTTGATTAATTCAGGGATGAGATTTTTCCGCTTTTTAGCGGATTTCCGCTTTTTCACTTTTATCTCTTGAATTTCAGCTATTTTTTTTAATCAAAAATTCAGATTTTTGTAAAAATTTCACTTTTTTTTCATAAGTATTCCGCTTTTTCAGAAAATTCATCGATTTTCAAAGAGAAACGGAAAATTCAAACTACATAGCTACCAATCCTTTCTCATTTTTACTTATTTTACCTATTTTCTCCCCTTCTACTCGCAGCAGATAAGATTTTCCGAATTTTTTACCCGCCCTCCAGATAGATCCGATTTTTGTAGTTCAAACGAAACTGCTTCTGACAAGCCTTTTAGAGGTCCCAAGCCTGGAATCTGCTAATATCTCGATTCTTATTCACACGATTTTAATATCAAACATAGCTTTTCATATTTGCGTGTTGCGATTCTTATTCACGCGATTTGAATATTGTACGTTGCGATTCTCATTTACGAGATTTAAAAGTCCGATATTGTGATTCGTATTTACACCTTTTTAAAAACGTATGTAGCGATTCGTATTCACGCAAGTTCAAAATTCAATGTCTTGCTTTGCTCATGCGGTTTATAATATCGTGATTTTAAAATAAGGCATTGGGCATTCTAAAAACTATACATCATGATTCGTATTTACGCGATCTAAAAATTATGAATCGTGATTTGTATTTACGCGTTTTAAAAATTCTATATCCCAGTTTGTATTTTCTCATTTTCAAAATCGTATATCTAGTTTCATATTCATGTGATTTCAAAATCCATAATTGTTATTCATATTCACGCAATTTTAAGATCAACTATCGCGATTCTTGTAAGAAGTAAATTTTTTTTAAATTAGTTACTATAAAGGTGACTGTTTTTCTAACGACGATTATTAGTATATGTAAGTGTTACAACATCAGAGAAACTGGAAGGGAATATATTCAAAACTTACATTCTGTGCTTGCAAAGAAGAAAAAATAGGATTTGTCACAAGATGTTTGAAGATGGACTAACGACTAAATATAGCAAACATAAAAGATATAGCAAACAAAAGCAATCACTTAAAAAGGGATTTAATTAAAAAAAAATTTTGGGGGAAAAAGAGTTAATTAACTCATCATCAAAATTTTATTTATAATTGCTGTTATTTATGCTATAAAATGCAAAATTCTTATCAAATAAAAAACAATTATCTAAACAGTTGCTGATTGTCATGTAATTTTTCAAACTAAAATAGCAATTTTTGTATGTTAAGGAGTTACTATATATTTCTACTTCACTGTTATTGATATGTTTCAGAGGGCTCTAGTTAGATTAGACTATAATATGAACATAATGATTCAGTCCATTGTTAAAGTTTTTTTTCCCAATATAATTTAAAAAGTAATATTACTGATATATTTGCTATAAATCACATAACAGTATTTATTAAAAGAAATGAAATATTAATGTATATTCTCAGTAGTTTTAATTTGCTAAACCAGGTAGTTTTTCAAGTAATAATTATCTCTTATGTGAACTGAGGAAAAATATAATTTCCAGCTTTATTTTCTCATATGGTAATTTTTATTTTCACTAAATGTTAAGTATCAATGTAATCATTTATATAATAATAGAATAGTACACAATTGTATGTCAACACATTATTTATTACCTTAAACTGTTTGGAATTTATTAAAGGGTTGCGCCTGAGTAAAATTTACTATCGTGGAAATTCAGCTTTTTTGCCTTTTGGCTAATCTCATCCCTGTTAATTAAAAAAAAAAAAAATTGCCATATTCAAATAAATGGGATATGTTTTTTTTCAAGCACTGGTTTAAAAAAAGATCTTGTGTTTGAGTTTTCTGTCAAAAGTACACTTTTTTTTTTTTTTAATAAGTAAAAAGAGCAACATTTACTAATTTTTTAAAAATAAAAACTACTGAAGATTGATTGGTGTAATATTAATAAAATTCTATGAAATTATTTTACTTAAGTGCATTGAAAGAATTTGGAAAAAGAAGTGTTAACATGTTGAATTTTTATAACAAAGAATTAATTATTTAATTACAAAATTTTACTATTAAAATGAACTGTTTTAAGTATAAAAAAAATGATTCAAAGTTGTGATTTTTTAAAATAATTTTTTCATAAATGGAGTTCAAAACGAAAGAATGCTAAGTAGGAGAACTCGTACTAATAATAATCTACAAGAAACTTAGTTAAATCCTGGTGTGTAAAACGTATAATGAAATAATGCACAGCGATCGCAAAATGGCAGAAGTTTCACTAAAATAATTTCAAGAAGCATTAAATTTTGCCAAAATAATGTACAGCGATTTGCAGAGTGATAGAACTCTTGCTGAAAATAATCTTCAAGAAAATATCCAGGGGGGGAGTGCAAAAAGAAAAATACATAGTGCGACATCTGTTTTTGTTCTCTTTTTTGCCATTTAACTCCTTTTTTTTTGGTCACTTTTTTCTTTGTAGCCTGGCTTAATCGACATCTACGTAGCCAGGCTTAATCCGCGGCCTTTTCATAGCCAGGCTTAATCCGCGGCCTCTTCGTAGCCAGGCTTAATCCACGTCCTCTTCGTAGCCAGGCTTAATCCACGTCCTCTTCGTGGCCAGGCTTAATCCACGCCCTCTTCGTGGCCAGGCTTAATCCACGCCCTCTTTGTGGCCAGGCTTAATCCACGCCCTCTTTGTGGCCAGGCTTAATCCACGCCCTCTTTGTGGCCAGGCTTAATCCACGCCCTCTTTGTGGCCAGGCTTAATCCACGCCCTCTTTGTGGCCAGGCTTAATCCACGCCCTCTTTGTGGCCAGGCTTAATCCACGCCCTCTTTGTGGCCAGGCTTAATCCACGTCCTCTTTGTGGCCAGGCTTAATCCACGTCCTCTTTGCTAGACTTATCAGCCTCCTCTTCATAGCTAGACATATCGGCATCTTCTTCGTACCTAGACTTATCAGCATCCTGTGTGTTATCAGCATTAGCTTAGGCAAAGGTCCTCCTTGTTTGCTAAATCAAGAATATCTTATATCTAAGGCTTAAGTCGGAGTTTTGATGCTTCTCGAAAAGCTAAAGCTGCTATGTGACAGTATATGTGTTAAATCAATATTCATTAATATATTGCTACTCCTACTTACTGCAGTTGATCTACGTAAAAGGAGAAGATCTTCTTCAGATTGTCTTAATTATCGAAAAGAAAGTGGATCATAATATCATTATTAATTGGATTAAAGTTTTATGCTTTGTCGTGTAACTTTTATATTTCTTTATGTATACAAAGTATATATTTTTATTAATCCACTGAGTAATGAAGCTAATACAAAATTAAGAACTGTTCTCTTCGAAAATTTTAAGATTTTGTTGGAAAAGTTTTATTCAGTTCCTAAATATTCTTAATTTGTTGGTGCCCTTTCAGACTATCTTTGCAACAAGGATGCATATTTTTTATTAAAAAAATTATGCCTTTGACGTAAGGAACAACTTAAAAAAATCACTTTTCATTTGTTTGAATTTGCTTTTCAAATATTGCAGTAAATATTACTTTAGATAAATTACTAAAAAGACCCTTAGAATTGAAAAAGTTCAAAGTTGCATGCCAAACAAATGAGAAAAACAAGTTCATCTGGTCAAAGAAGAAATTTTACTTAAAATAATTCAATGATTATGAAAACAATTGTTATGATTTCTCCATCATTGCCTAGTTAATAAGATCCTAGTCATCTATAATTTAGGGCAAAATGTTTTTTATTTATTATTATTTTTTTCTCAAAGGAAGCCATGATTTACAAAAAGTAGTTCATAACTTTATTTGTATTTACTGATTAATTCTTCAAACTTTTGTAAATAGTTTTTTAAATGAACTCATCTAGCTAGTGGCAATCTTATGTAGGTAGATATTTCTGATTAGTTAGAAACTTTATTCAGGGCATTATTAAAATTATAAGCATTTATAAGGCATATAAATTTTTTAGTTTCTTTAAGTCTTAATAATTTAATGTGTTTGTTGAAAAGTTGTTATTAAATGCTATGTTTTTTATTATGTATATAGACTCTTATTAAGTAACCTTTTTTTTAGTTGGAGCTAAGTGATAACAGGATCTCTGGGTGCTTAAATTTGCTGCATGGAAGTCCGAAACTAACACATCTTAACCTCAGTGGAAATAAAATAAAAGACATTGAAACACTAAATCCATTGGTAAGTTATTGAAATACCTTAAGTCTTCTAGTGTCCCTTCGGATTAGTTGCACTTTTCTATTGTAAATAATTGTCAGAATTTGATATTTTGTCCAATTGGCTAGCTGTCAGATCAGACTACCTATTATCTGATCATGCCTTTGTAAGTTAGAAACTTTTTTTTTTTTTTCCAGTTTTTTTATGATCCCAAAAAAAGTCTGTGCATGTTGTTGAGCTTAGTGTGGGTGGTGGATGAAAAATTTAAACTTGAAGTGTTGTGGGCTGGACATGCGCCAGTAGGTATTGTTGGATCAATGCTAGTATGAATTCACCATCAGTGGCTCATTAGTGTAGCCGTAATGTAGCTTTCACTGAAAAATTAAAATTCATGAATAATTTTTAATCTTAATTTACTGTAATTTATTAATAAACTATTGTTATTTGTACTGTTTTTCAAAATTTTAGCTCTACTTCATTATGGTTTTTCAAACATAAATTATTATTTATTGACTCTTGCATTCTTATTTAAGATTTTGGATCTTATTCAAAATTTACTTAGCTAAATGTATGATTAGGTTGCCATCAAAAGAGTAGGATAGAAAACATTTTGAGATATTCAGACAATAATTGCGCAAGACTACCATCAAAAGAGAAGGGTAGAAAACATTTTGAGATATTAAGAATATAATTGCACAAGACCAGTATATAATGATTAAAGAAAAAACATTAAAAAGATTGTAGGAAATAGTTGCATAAGACAATCAAAACCAATTTACAACATTCTCTTTTTCCGAAAATTTTTTGAAATATTCATTTTTTGTGAGGCAAAAGTTAGAAAAAGTATAAAAGCGTTTTTCAAATGCAGGCAAACGAGACATTTTTGTTCTAAAACCAGTTCTATAATAGCATTTTTCAGTCTAAGGACATTTGAACATCAGATTGAGCAATGAAGGGCATGATCAAATGTTTACACAGGTTGACTATTTTGATAATTTTTATGTACTAAACATCATCAGTGTTATAGGCACTAAATACTTTTTTAAGTCAACTTAGTTATTAATTTGGATAAAATTAAATACTTTTAAATATTAGAATTATTTCAAAGTTGAACAATGCTAAACTTATTCTTTTAAAAAAAACTCATCAAAAGATTTTTTAAAAATATTTTCCCCCCATTTACATAATATAATAAAAGTTTATTTTTAAGCTTAAATTCATTGAATAAATAAAAAGAAAGAAAAATATTAAATATTTTGTTGAGTATTATAAGTGCAAATTCCTAAGAAATTTTATAGAGGTTACCTTAATTTAATGATTTTCTAAAAGAATTTAATGATTTTCTTAATTTAGTTTTTATTTAAATAAAACTAATAGTGCTTTTTAATTTCATGGTTAAACTGCATGTCTTGTAAGCATGTTTAAAATTAAAATTTTTTTAAAGGCTAATTCCGGCGCAGACAAAAGTCTTTTGAGACAACTTGATATCTAAGTGTTATAGAACTAATACATATGCGAGGCTGAAAATTGATGGCATTGTGTTTGTGACAGAGGTATTAAAAAAAAATAACGAAAATTGCAGAAGGATGGGATTGGTGTAGCCATTTTTTTAAAAAATACTTTCATAGAATGTAATTTTTTAAATGCTTTTATATTTAGCATAGTTCGCATTAAGAATAAAAAAGGGCCAGGTTTTTCCTCACAGAAAATGCTCACTCACTTATTATCATTTAAATTTATCAATGTGTAATGTAATAACAGAGTTTGATCTTCAATTTTTAAATACCTTCTAAACTATTTTTTGTATATTTCACAAAGTAATTCTCACTTATCAAAATAACTGAAGCATTTAAAAGATAAATGTAGGTAAGCTAAAAGACAATCTCTGTATATAAACTTCAAAAAATATGAACTTAAAAGAAAAAAAAGGATTAACTGATGAACAAGTTATAAGCGTTTCTTATATTTTAAACAGAAAATTATAAGAAAAGCATTCAGAAGTGCATTTTAAGTTAAAGGTATATACTTAAAAAAAAAAAATAATGGTAAAATTTAGTCATTAATATACCCCTCTCCCAAATAAAAAATGTGATATCTCTGGGGCCGAATATTATATGAATTTTAACTATATAGCTAGACAACATAAGAAAAGTCTTACTAAAATGAAGGAATGAAATTAAAAAATTAAAAAAGTTAAATGATTATCAATTGCTAAATAAATCAGAAATAAACTTTTTATTACAAGAGGTGGTTAAGAAAATCACCTTTTCCTGCAAAAAATAAAAAGGCAACATTTTTAAGGGATGGGGGCTTATTTTTACAAAAATGTAAAAGCTGGAACATTTATAGGGATCTGTGATTTTAAAAATGCTTAGGGAGAACACTGTATTTAGTAGTATCCCATGTAATTATATATATATATTTTTTTTTCTTTTTAGCAAGAATTCAAAAACTTAAAGAATCTTGACCTATTTAATTGTGAAGTCACAAGTGTGGAAAACTACAGAGATGAAGTATTTGGTCTCATCAGCAGTTTAAAGTACCTGGATGGGTATGATCGAGAAGATAAAGAAGCTGAAGACTCTGAAAATGACGATGATGATGGTACTTTTTTGTTAATTTTATTTTATTAACCTTATCCAATTGTTTTTAATGGTTCATTATTCTCTTGTAGTAATTGTTTAAAATTAATTGTACGACGTTACCTGATCTTATGACATTAAAAAGTACCTAAAGGCCAAACAAATTAAATTTGAAATGTGTATTTGTAATTAAGAGACAAGGATTAGCTATTTATTCTAGTAGCTCTGTGACACTCGAAACTGAAATTTTGTCATGTTAACTTTCTATCCAAAAAAACTTCTCAAAAGACATTTTATTAACAACATTTGGTAAATTCAAACAAAATACCATGTTTGGGCAATGTAATTAGTTGAAAAACAGTTCACTACCAATGTATTAATTTAGAAAAAACTCAAAAGCGAGGCCTGCTTATTGCTTTTGTAATAAAACAAGAGTTAACTAAGTTAGCTTGTCAGTATTTTCTTCGGGGTTGGAGTTTTTGCCGGCAAAAAGGGGTTTTCGCCAGGACAGTGGCAAAAACCAAATCATCTAAATTGCTGATTAAATATTATTGCAAAATACTTGAAACAAATTTAAATCAATCATAAGGAATAATAATTTTGATACATTACATGAAAAAATTATTTTTAACATATTAATAATTAATATGAAGGCAATAATTTTTAAAACATTGAAAGTTTTTGTCCTCTTTTCATTTTAGAATCCTTAAATAAATGTTTTTTTACAAATAGTAAATAAATATTATTATTTGTACAATAATTAACTACACATCTTGATAGATTTTTTATGCTTTAAATTATAGTTATATTAATTTAAAATAAGTTCATTTCACTGGAAAAAAGAGAATAATCGCAAATTTTCCAATCACTAATGTTTTAAACTACTAAAATGATATATCATTACATTATGATTTAATTATGGAATAATAATTTTGTAATTATTTATATTTATAGTATATATTTCAATTTTAGGAATAATTTTGTACCAAAAATGTGTTTTTGTCCTCTCATCTTGGAAAATATAGGTTTTTGCCGATTTGCTTGGCAAAAACCAGGACGGTTTTTACCGGTATTTACCCTGGTTTTTTCCACCTGCGGCAAAATCTTGCCAGCCCTGATTTTCTTTAACAAAATTGATATCCTATTGAGGTAATGAACATTTGTAACATAACAAGAGTTGTTCTTTTTCCGGCTAAGAGAAACTTTACTTTAAACTTGATACATCATTGTATTTAAACCAATTTTTCCCAAATACGCTCCTAGAGGCAGGGCTGAAAAAACTTTTTTAATTAATTTTTTTGGTTTAATTGTTTTCGGTGTATAACAAAGTATTATTAGTATACACATTTATTACATAGTATATAAGTTTATTGCTAAGTCCATAACAGCAAACAGTGTTAATATTGGAATTTATATCTAAATTGTTTACAAACATATTAAATTATCAAACCACTTTATTTCATTTTTGAGAAGTGAAAAATGTTTCTCTATTTTATTTAAATTCCATCCTACAGATATTTTAAAATATAGTTTAGTGATAACTAAAAGACAGATGTTTGGTCCTAACTGTGAAACTGTTTCGGTTCCAAAAAAGCTAGTTGAAGTTTATAGACATTTAATGAGTAAAACAGAACCATGAGAGACTATAACGAACTTTTAACTACAAGTGGCATTTAGTTTTGTTTTTACTTTGCTGTTATATCATTAATATGTGATATTGAGATTTAAAATATTGCTGTAATCAAAAAAATTTTTCTTCAAAATATATTTCCCTAAAATTAAAATTTCAAAAATGTATTAAAAAATTTTGCTCAACTTGTTAGCATGTAATCACGATTATTTGCTTAAAATTTATTAAATAATTTGTGAAGAATATATAAAAATGTGTGAAATTATAATAACTGTAGTAATAACAGGGAGGGGGAAAAAAAAGCTTGGAGAACAAGCTCCTTTTTTTGTCATTTGTGAAAAAACCCCACTTGAAATTGGGTTCTTTTAGGGTTTTTTTTTTTTTTTTTTTTTTTTTATATTTTCCTTTCATAAANTTTTTTTTTTTTTTTTTTTTTTTTTTTTTTGTATGTGGATAGGTAAACAGCCTTGCATAGAGGGCTTGTATCTTGATTTTTTTTTTCCTGTTACAAAAGTATGAGGTTTCTCTGTAGGCAATGAAGATGATGATGAAGAAAATGATATTCATGAAGATGGAGACAGTGATGATGAAGATGAGGAGGATGGTGAAGGTAAGTTAATCTGTTTATGGTTAGTTTGCTCTAATTATATCAAAATCGTTTGTCATCATAAATGTTGATCGCTATTTTCAGGCAGAATTTTAAGAGGTTTCTTCCAAATAAAATCTTAATCCTGAAGTAAATTGTATCTAAATCTTATCAAAAATCTTATTTCATTTTATTTTTTATCGGAACTCATTAATTTTATTTGCATACATCATCTAATTTCTTAACAGATTTTTTTACTAATCGTTAAACTAACTTTTTATGTGTATCTTTAAATGGAGAGATTTTTATTAAATAATGGTCCAATTTTCGTAAAAAAAAAAAGAACTCTGACACTTGAAAGTCGCGGGTTCTAAATACCTAATATTTTTCCTTGAAATTTAGTTTTCAAAATTTAAATAACAATCTGGAAATTGCGCTATTTTCTATTTTTGTGAGTCTTTCTTTATTCTATGTTCTTGCTATTGTTTAAAATGTCATAATAAATTATTAATAGATGAACAAGATGATGATGATGACGTGAATGTTGATGAAGATGAAGAGGATGAATTAGAGGATGAGGATGGAGATGAAGAAGTAATTTTATAAATTCTTTTTTTATTTGTTTAATACTGTAATCAGTCTTAACCTCCAAATGGTTGCTATCATTCTATATTTTGCAAGTTTAATTTTTATGCTTGTACTATGCAATTTTTATGATTTAGTAAATTGTTTAGCCTAAAACCATTCTGCTTTATTAATTAGGTACAAAGATGCAAACTTTGCAATTTTGAAAAATTATTTGTTATCTAAAGGGAGAGAGATAAAAGTTTATAAATATAGATAGATTAAAATACGAGGGTTGTAAATTAAATAGTAGCAACTTAACCTTGAAACTCACAGAAGGGAGGGCATGCGCAAATAGGATATGGGACCGGTGAGGTGGCGCTGTTGTCTATGTGTATAGCAGGGTTCGTTGATTTAAATCAAATGATTTTTTTAAAAAAATCCTTGATTTAAATCAACAAATTTTTTTTATCTATATATATTGATTTCAAAAGTTAAAAAGCAGTGTTTTAAATTTTTGATACTTTTATTATTTTCTTCTCTTAGTATTAAAATTTAATTTAAATAAATTGCTGCATTAATTAATTTTAGTTAACAAAATTACTTTCTTGGTGTGTGTTAAATTCCAACACATTTGAAATTACAATTTTAAAAATCGTTTGATTCTTGAGATTGAAAGTATAGATTAAAGTAAACATTTAATGCTGTCTTAATATAGATTTGCATAGCTGTAGAAAGTAATTAATAAACATGAATTTTTTTCAAAAAATAATACAGATAATGTTAATTAAAATTCTACCTTTTGAATGAAAAAGCATGAATTAAAATCTACATCATATTTTATTGGTGGAAAATGTATATTTCTTAAGCTTGAGGTTGTATTAAAAAGATATTACCCTAATATGCCAAAAACAGAGGGGGGGAAAAAAGGGCTGATGAATTCAGATGTTTTTTTCCTTCCTAATATAGTGTCATTCTTCTCTTTCAAACTCTTTCGATATCTATTTGATGCAGTAGGGTTATTAACTGGTATTTTTTTTTTCATAATATGTTTGCAGTATCTTTGACATTATCTGATGTTCTATAAAGAAATTTTGTGAAAAAAAATTCCAATGAGTACATAGATTTTCTAATTTTTTTTTTTAGCTCAACTCATCTATTTTCATATAGAATTAAAAATGAATATTTTAATATAAAAATATATAGATTAAATGCTTATTTATTTTTTGATGAATGGCTACATTTATAAACACAGTCTGCTACATTTATTTTGTAATTTTAAAAATCAAGAGAAAAAAAATGAAATCACAATTTTAAATTAAAGTTATGGTTTGCTAACTGAAACTTTGCTTTAATAGTTAAAGCACAGGAGTCTGTCCAAGCCGGTACCTTTACAAATTCAACTTTAGGAAAAATTATAGAATAGTCACACAAAATACTTTTTCTTAAAATTTTATTTTTTTGTCTCGTAAGAAACAATAAATCCATATTTTTACTATATTTGTATTGATCTTTTAATATATATTTTAATTTTCACAAAATAGGTACCTCTCAGAAAAACCAAAACAGACCCCTGAAATATTCTTTAAATTCTCTATTTCATCTAGTCTTTTAAATTTTAATCATGCATTTTTTTCAAAATGGTTGCTATGCATTCAAAGCCATGTATTATAATGCAAAATTATTTTAGTTAGAGCGTCTAAAGTATTGTTACAATATAGTTTTAATATTAAGTTAATTTGATTAAACATTTTTAATTTTTTTTAATCATAAATTAAAGTTCATACAGTGTATTTGAATAAAAATCAAAAAATTCTGATTTAAATAAAAAAAATCCGATTTAAATCAAAAAAATCTGATTCTTTTGATTTTTTTTAAAAAAATCAAAAAAATCACGAACCCTG